CTTATCACTCGAAAATCACAAACAACGAAAACCTACAAAATGATTGAAATCAATATTTTGGTAAGGAAATAAACTTTCTTATCAAAGAAGGTTAATCTTATTTCAACTTTTTGGTACTTTTCCGTTATACATCTGCAAAGATTACCCCTCATCATTTAATAATCAAAAATAAACATTAAAATACGATATAGGTACTTTTCCGATAGTCGCACAATAGTCGATCGAGGTCCACTGTTGAGTCCATCCATAGATGAATCGTAGGATTGGGAGAAACGGAATTTTGGTGCCCTCCATTCATGAGCCAACACGCAGGCCGACCGCTGTCCGGCACGACGTTTTGTCACATCTCCATCAGGAATCCTGATTGAGCGATAGCTTCATAACGTGGAGGGTTGGCGCACTTGCGAGTAGTAAACAAGATGCGGCGTTGTTGAAAGAACGAAATTGCATCGGCCTCGGTGATCGGTAAGCGAAACATGAATCCACCGCGCCCTCAGGAAATAGCAAAAGAATGAATTTTCTGTGTTTTTCCTTGTTCATTTTCTTGGAAGGATGCAAATTTGGCGGATGTATAACGGAAATGATCGAGGGTTTATTTTTGCGGATGTATAACGGAAAAGAATCAAACTTTTCTTAGATCGGCGGTCAATTGGCCGACTTATTGACTCTCTTCTTGAACCCAATGTTCATCGTTGAAGCTTCTGCTTTGATTTTCTTGTCTCGACCGTCTGTAAATGGAGGAATTGTCTGGAATATGATTATTGGGGTTTGTGGCTAATAGTACAAAGTGTAAGAGAAGAACATTTACAATGTTTACTCTGAGTCACTTCCGTTTTAAACCCCCGCAATGAGTGAGCAAGTCATTGACGGGGCATCAAAACAAAGTCAATTCATCAAAACAAAGCGGAAACTAACAAGGATTGTAAGGCTTCAAAAAAAGTAGGATTGCATCGATTTGAACACTGGCACACATTATGGAATCTAGACATAGAAAAATTCGAACCCAAATCTAATTCCACCTTCTTTTTCTTGGTCAATTCTTGACCGTCAAGAATTCTCAAGATTGCTCCGAAATTACAGATAGAAATCGACATTTTCAGCTTATAGCCAAAATTTCAGAGCCGAAGAAATCGGTCAAGAAACGATCGAGAAAACGAAGGTGGAATTAGGTTCGGGTTGGAATTTTCCCATGTCTAGTGGAATCTGAAATTATGGAATTTAGAGAAATCATTAGAGAAATACTGTTTAGAAAATTTCCCACAGTTTACCTTATTCAGAACCTCCACATTTTTGCCACCGCATATTCAATGGGATTTTTGTAATGAGTGGGTTGTATCGAATGGAATGTCTTCACGAGAATTCCCGCAAAATGATCAGAAGAATGAAAATCTTTGCAAACTTCCTGCAAAGCTTAGTCTTTGTTTTGGCAACGTGGATTATTTGGGATTTTTACTTTACTGCCAATATAATCATCGATCCCGTTGCGGTAACTAATTGATATCATTGACCATAGACGCTTTAAGATCTGTGCGGAGAATCCTTTGCTTTGTGAAATGGAGAAGGTTGTCATCATCGATCCTCATCACCTCCAATGTTTCCATTCATCATTCTCATGCTGAATTTCTTCTTCTTTTCCCTTTTTTGTATTGTCGGCTCGGCTTTGATTGACTTTCTCAAGAAATCTAAACAAATAAGTAAAAAGACAAGGGATATTCATCTATACTTTACAATCATCTTCCTCTATCAAGTGAGTATAGCGGAGGAGAGCTCAATACAAGGAGATCAATACTTCAGGTGTTGATCGTTATTGTTTTCATCTTTATCCCATATTCGACAGCTGTTATTTGCATGCTTCGTTTAGCTAATGGAATCATTTTTTCCATTGGTAAGTTGGTTCAACTGAAAAATCTTATTGTAAAAGTTTAAAATTGCCTACATGAGTACAGTAAGATAACGATACTTATGGGTTTTTGCTACGTTTAAACATGTGCATCATTTGCTATCCGACTTTCCTTTCAGCTGCTTCATTATTTTCTCTTTACATGGAGATTCACTCGATAATGAATTGCCTAACAATTCTCTTGGCCACTCAATCATATCGGAAAACAATTGTAAACGGAATTCTCAATTTATGTGTTTTGATTGGCAAAGGAAAACCTGATCCTCGTGATTCTCTCCCGAAAATCTCCATCACTTCAGCAGCTAAATATTCAAGAAAAGTTTCGACAAGTTTTTGAGAAGATCAATAAAAGCTTTCTTACATTTGAGATACCCATTTATAGTTCATTTTTACATTCAATATTCATTTATTATTTGTAGGTTTTCATAGACTTGATGATATAATTTCACCTGTCCTCTTAAAAAGAAATTCCTTTTTGAAAAGTTTTTGGGCTCACAAATTATTCTAGTATTTTATCTAACAGTTTATAATGTTTATTCCTGACGCACACACTCAGAAAACAATTTCAATAACCTTCTTAGCATTGTGGATTATTGCAATTCTACTTTTTCTCGTTGCAATGTATTTTCTTTTGAAGAGAAAATCAATGGCGACAAAAACACATAAAATAATACAGATTCATATACTCGTAAGTTTGAAATTTGAGACTTTACAATTAGAAGTACCAAAAAGAACAAGAACAGAAATAACAAGCTTTAAAATTGCCTTAAACTTTAAAGAACTTTAAAGCCTTAAAATATTAAGGTCCAAGCTTAGCTAAATCAATTCACTGGAGATCTAACTATAAGGCCAAAAAGTTCAAAAACCAGTTCAATTACTATGGAATTCATAAAGTCTAAGCACTTTTCAACAACAATGTTTTATTTTTAGATATCCAGCCTTGTGGCTGACACGGGCACTTTACTATCAAAACCCATTTTCATACCAGAACTTCCCGGATTGATTCTGATCAATGTAGTCTCTTCGGACAAATCATTGAGCACTTTTATGATTGGAGTAAGTGTTACAGATCAAAGATATCATTATCAATTGCAGACAATCCACCTTTTGGGTGTCCTTTACTCGATCGCTTCCTTTACATTCGGTGGTTTCTATCGAATGGAGAAATTGCATGCTGATTGGATAAAATTCACAAGGAAATTAAAGCTTTTCTCGATGTTTTTTGTCGCAATTGGTGTCATTTTAATCAATCTGCTCTCGTGGGATCTGTATTTTGGAGGACATTTTGTATCCGATTTGAATAGGGTACATCAATGGGCTTTTAGCATGAGTACATCCAATGGTTGAACTTTAGATTTGTCTTAAGAACGAACACCTTTGTAATATCGATAATGTCATTTGGATTGAGCTAACCGATTTCTCATATCTGCTATTCAAAATCGCAATTCCATTCTTTTTGACCTTTGTCATTGTCTGTGCTTTTCTATCATTGTCAGCTATGTACGACTTCATGAAAAAGTCCAAGCAATTGAGTCGACGAACGAGGGAATTACAGCTATATTTCACGATAGTTTTCTTATATCAAGTGAGGTTTTTGATCTAAAAAGCTAAAAAAGATCATTTAGTTATTGTTGGCATTGATTTTTATCTGTATTCCTTATTTAATAATTGTTGCTTGTATCCAGGGATTACTGGAAGGGATTGTGTTTACAATGAGTAAGTTTAACATCAAGAACGACCCGTTCTTTCAGCTCCAGCACTGAGCACACGTTCTGGCACTGACAATGAGCTACTCATTTCATGCTGACTTGCATAGCTGGAAATCGAGTCGCTTTCTTCAAAGATTCTTAACACATTGACGACCACGTGACTCAATGCTGAGTCAAGGCTGTTTCTCGCGAATGGCTGGACCAAATGAGCCCAGAGTTTGCAAGTGCATGTAATTTTGGGTCCTCTTTCCGAATTCGACGTTAGTTTTATTAGAAAGTTGTAAAGAAAATCTCGTGCGTTCTTTTCGTGTCGCTCGTAGGCAAAAAACATTGGCACACTGCTTCGGATTTGTGGTCGGGACTTGGGTAATTGAACCGGCTTCAAAAAAATCGCATTTATCTAACGTGACCAATAATTTTTAAAGGCTCAAAACAATTCTAAAGAAAATTTTGACCCGGGGATCTATAGCCTACATTTATCGAGAAGCCAGTGTATAAAATCAAAAAATTAAAACTGTGAAAATAAATTATAGGGAGTTTGTTGCTCTAAATTTAAGGCCGGACTCGGATTCTAGAGTCTTTTAAGGCCCCGTGTGCAAATTTCTGGGATCTGGCTATTCATTTTGATCCCTGGTCCAAATCGCCCGTTTCGCAAAAGATGCGCGGTCGTCAATGTGTTTTGGACTGTTTAACTAACTTGTAAATGAACATAGAACATAAAAGACTGTTTAGTTGGCGCTTTTTGTACCCTCCTCGTGAATGTCCACTCAATCATGAACTGCTTGACAATCATTTTCGTCACAAAATCTTATCGAAAAATAGTCATTGATTGGATTAAATCGATTCTTTGCGCAAATCCGTTGAAGAAATTACCCGAAACAGTGAAAAGAATTGCACAACGATCAAATGTTTCAATGACTCATCTACCCATATCGAATAATAACAACAATAATACTGTGAGACCGAGCTTTCATTTGTAAAAGTTTAACGGGAATTCAATAAACATTGTATCTGAAACCATTTTCTTCCTTTTTTATATTCCTAGTTTTTGTGATTTCTTTTTTCAATGTCCATCGAAATTGTTCCGGGATTCCCTGAAGTATCCTTTTCATCCTTTTCTGCAATCCTTTTCTAATTCTTTTCTGAAACGAATGAAAAAGAGGACAATGAAATGTCGATTGAATGCTCGATTTGATATTCTGTTTGAACAGTGATCCCATCAAGCTTTTCCCCCATAAATAGCCATCCGGAAAACAAAATAAATCCATCTAATTGCATCATTACAATCACGTTAATCAGATTATGTTCATTTTGTTGTTATTTTTTTATTTGGATTTAACTTTTCTTTACAATCATGGGAGATCAATGAAAGACATGATCGAAATGGGGCAATGTTTGGGGATATGTGTGAGTATTCGGATAGTACGTTAAGAATGAAAATATATACTTTGTAGCGGTGATTAGTATAATATCTTTAGTGTTAACCCCTCAGCAACTTTCTCGTTACATCGAAAATGGAAGTCTTTTGGTGAGAGGAGTCTCAAGAAAAGAATCACCGCATAATCGCTGGAAAGATAATTTGGTTCCCTTTGCGATTTCACCACAATACACCTCGGCACAGTGAGTTTTCATTATTTCATTGATGTCTCATCAAACATTCACAGAAAGCAAATGATCCGAACATCATTGAAATCAATGGAAGCAATCTCGTGTTTCCGCTTTTCTGAGAGAATCTATCAAAAGGATTATGTTTTCATTGTTCCACTTGATGGATGTTATTCATATGTCGGGAGAATTGGTATGTGACTAAGGCATAAGGCATCGTGGCGGCAATGCGACACGTGTCGGTATAGATCATTGGCAAAGCGTTCGCTCGGTAAGGTGAGGTCGCCCGGTGAGGTTGCGGGTTAGCCGACCATGTATTCCCGAGCCCCAACCCATAAAAGAACCGGCATATCCAAACCAACTTGTGAAGGAAACCAATCAGAGTTCCCATTTCAGGCGGTGGTCAATTGATGTCTCTTGCTCCAGAATGCTTAGCTGATTTCATTATTTGGCATGAAGTTTGTGAAGCTATAGTAAGCAAAACAGCAACAAAACTTCTTAGATGATGCACGCAATCGGCTTTGAACACGAACATCAACGGCCTGATAGAGATACTCATCTCACTGTGAAATATGAGAATGTGATACCCGCACAAATGAGTTTGCTTTCAATTTAAGATTTAACTTACTTTATTTAGCGAACTTTGAGAAAATTCGAGCCCAAGAAGTCGATTATCCCGATCAATATGATTACAAGGTAGTTCTGACTGTGGGATTTATGAAAATAGAGACAATTGCAGTCTCTAATGCATTATGATTCGTATGCTTTCGGAAAAATGGACAAAAAGAAACAAGTTCGATTGGCGACAATGGTTCCGAAAAAGGTTTAAAAGATATAAGAAGCTTTAAAATCAGTAAATCAGGCTGGAGTTTATTTGGGTGATAATATGAAGTTCTCCGAGACGGATATCCGAAAATTGAATCGTTTGGGGAAGTGTTCTCCGTTTAAAGGTTTGGGATTTGAAAATAACGTATCGTTGAAAAGTATCTATTTGAAAAGAACGTAAGTTCAAGCTTAACTCAATTTTACTTCGATAAGTTTATTCATTACAAATTTTAGTCACAAGATCCCCGACAGCCACGACAACAAACGGAGAACTTTGCTATGATCGATTGAAAAATTGCGAGGATTTTGTGGAAGCTGGTAACACATTTCTTTGCAAGTTTATTTCAAATGAATTGGCCAACTTTTGCAGGCAAATGCATCTCTCCAGGCTACAAATCCCTAATGGAAACATACTGTGCGAAGAGCTGCGAATTCTGTAAAGAAAACGCGGTGACTCCCACAAAATGGGAGATGACAACATTGAGGCCGAATACCCCAAAAATTGTGAATCCAATTCTGAAAGAAGAAAGAAAGCCATTTGATGAGAAGAAAAACTCGGTAGAGATTGGAATGGATTGCACGGATTTGGTCAGTTGTACATTTCAGTTATAGAAAAAAACAATTTTTTTGGAAAAAAAAAAAAATGGCCGGCGCCCACCCCCGCCCCCCCTCTTCCGTTCCTTTGAGAGACGTGCGTTAACCACTCGGTCATGCTCTTTGAATGGCTCTTTGAAGCGCGGTGCACCTCGTGGATGGCACAATGCGAGCGCACTTGACTCGAGCCGACACGACCCGGGTTCGACTCCCGCTTGCGTCAGCACTTTTGGTTTTTTTAAAATTGAAAAAATGTTGCACAATTACATGAAATTCTAAGCCAAACTAACCATAAGTCATTTGAGACGACCCACTGTGCGCGGAGGAGTAGTGCGCGCCGACAGACAGAGACAGCTCTTTTATGTATAAGAGATTATTCATTTCCAGAAGCAAACCTGTCCTCTTTTTGCCGATTCATGTGATAATCCAGCATACAAAGCTCTCCTCAAGAAACATTGCCCCTTCACTTGTGGATATTGTCAATGATTTGACCAGTCCTTTGATCAAATCAGCCAAAAAATGTTTATGTACAAATTTTGAAGGTTTCTTGTTGTAGATAGTGTTTTAGGATTTTAAAATAAACTTTTACTAACCACATTTATTCAACAGAAACGTTTGGAAAGGTAAAGATAGGAGGTTCATAGGTAAATTTGGTACTTTTAGGGTGAGCTGATAGAGAAATGATGGAAATCGAAGAGGCTTTCAAAGCAAAGCAATAAATTTAAGCCAATCTCAAATGTGGGGGCATTCGGAAAGCGTGAGTATCCCAAGGAAGACGGACTGATGAACGCTTTCCAATGCGCGCTGCGTAAAAAGCCATCCTTTTATCTGGAAGACCCCATCCACCATATGAACCGCGTTTGCCGATTCGAGCAACAAACATTCGTTTTAGTCGATCATCACTGAAAGAAAAGATATCAATGGGGTTGATCTAAGCTTGAAATTTCAAGAACCAGCAAGTTTGACCAAAAGGTTCAAAGTTAAGAGTTGAGTTTTTGCAACAATCCTTGTTTTCATTTGTATCGCCATTTGAGTACTTCAGAGTGTACTTTGATCATCTCTAATCTATAATCCTAAGCCTTTAAACATCAGAGTAATCGAAACTTGACATAATATAACTTCTCGTGATATTGATTTCTTTACATTTCTTTGCAATTCCTCTTCCTACTTTCTAGTTCCTCTTAGCGGGTGATGTGTCATCGCAACTCTTGAATTAAAGATGTGATATCTGTCTACTTACACTTCTTGTACTTGTACTACTTCTTGTACATAGCAATTTGTCATTGGCTAATAGAAATATTCCTTTCGTTAATAACTCACTCAACATTTTCGGAGAAGATGTGTCTGGGTGCAAGGAATGGACGAGGTGGAGTTTCAATCGAGAAATCTTCGGCTGGCATCATGAATTGGGGAAAAGCTCAAAGGTTTAAAGGTTTAGATGAAACTAGTACTACTAAGTTTTTGGCTTGTTTATTTGTACACTTAGTTATTCACTTTTACTTCCTCTTTCTCGAAATGTCACCCCATCAACGCCCCTTTGACCAGTGAAAACAAATTGGCTACTTTAAAAGTAGTCAGCGAAAGTTCAAAGTATATTTTTTGCTTGGAAGCCATTGAATCATTGAGTCTTTAGAGCCATTGTGAAACCTTTTCAAATAACCAAATTTACCTTGCAAAACTGAAACAAATAGCATGAAGAAACACAAAGAATAATGAAGACTCATTTCTGAAAGAGATTATCTCGTGTGGGCCAAGCGAGTGTTCCTAAATTCTTTACATTGAGTAAAATCCAAAAGTCGAATAAAAATCCGAATGGACAAAAAGACAAATTTTCAGGAGAGCAAATTGATGGGTAATTATGCTGAGAAGTGAATGGAGAAAACGGATGGGAAAAGGTGGATTGAGACAAGGAATTCTGGAGTGATTCTTGTTGAGAAAAAGTGAGGAGACTTGTGTTGGCTTGATGACGTAAGTCGAGTAGTAATGAAGGAAGTAGTAATGAAGGATGATACTCGTTTAGCTACAATTTTAATGTTATTTGAATCAAAATAGACAGTTGACATTCAAAAAAACAAGAGGAAGAAACAACTACCCTCAATAAATGTTTATTGGCTTGGGATGAAAGAATGTGGAGGTGGAGAAAAGGAATGGGATGAAATTTCGCCCCAAGGGAACACTTAAAAAACAAGAACAAGAACAAGAACAAGAAACAAAGACTCTCACAATACGCTTGGCTATATTTGGTGTTCCACTTGGGTTTATTTTAGACTTTTACAATTTAAAGAGATACTACAAAGAGATAGAGAGAATTTAAAGAGTGTAGAGAGTCAATATGAAATGTGGTTATTCTGGAATGCTTTTGGCAGCTCAACGAAGCACATCTTGACTTAAAAGCACAGCTTGACCTACCTAGTTCTATTCTCAAGACAAAAACCTGATCAAGCTATGGGATCGGAAGCAATCGTGAAAGCAATTCTTCGGCTGGTTGCAGTCCCTCCCTCCTCCATTTGGCCCCCTTCCCTTTCCTTTTCCCATAGATTGAAGAGGTTTTCCATCTTGAACGACTCGCATAATGCTATTACCCTTTTCCTGCCTGAAAAACTTCGGTTCACCAAAACTTTTCCCTATTTAAAAAGATCTGCTTTTGGAGTTGGACAATTTGCTACCCAGGAAATGCGTTTTGAACCTTTTCTGCCGCTGGTTAGTCTATGAAACAAGAGAAAAACTGAAGTCAGGGATTATTGAATACAAAATGGACAGATTCAAGATTGTTTTGGCTAAAAATTTCCAGTTCAAGCAACTCCATTACATCATTCGTGGCCTCTGGTGTCTCGTAATGATTTCAGCTTCCCAAAATATTTGTTCCAAAGTGTAATAAACGGGCGTCCACTGATAACTGAGGTGTGAACAAGCGACTCGTGCCTAATTTGCCCGTATTCGAAATGAATTTCAATCTATCCACTGATCGATTATTGGTGGTAAGTGAATTTGTAAAGAAAATAAGCAACAAACTTCAGATATGTTCCTATATTTTGATGGGATGTACTTTTTGTGGACAAGTGTTTATTAGTATTTGCATGGTCAGACAATCGCTGGAGTTTCGGTCAATGATGAAGTTTGGATTAAAGGCATTATATTATTTTGGAGAATGCTAGATCTCGTGAAGAAGCAGAAGAAAAGGAAACAAAAGAAACAGATGAAGATCAAGCAGAAGAAGATTTTTATCTACATGTACCATTAGCCTTGTTAATGACAATGTGGGGGTAAGTGAAGAGAAAAAATCGATTGAAATGAGTGCTTTAGAATGGCTCTTATTACAATTGGCATTCATTTGATATCAATCGTGCTTACCATTCTTGGTTTTCGTCGTCGAGTACGATCAATGGCTTATTGTTACTTTATATTTTTGGTGAGAAAAGTATTCCCTAAAGATTCCCACCTTTTTGGATGAGAATCCAAGTGTATATGTCGTAGCCGATTATGAATGAGTGGGTCTAGGAGCGTCCAACCATCAAGTATTTGGTATCATTTAACGCAGAATCATTAATAATTATGTTAAATTTTTAAAATTAGAAAGATTGGATAAAAAGAAAAAAAATTATGGGTCCTCAAAGTTTCCTCTTGAACAAACAGTTTTTTTGCTCTAATTTTTTTTCTTTTTATCAAATCTTTCTAATTTAAAAAATTTAACATAATTATTAATGATTCTGCGTTAAATGATACCAAGTACTTGATGGTTGGACGCTCCTAGACCCACTCATTCATAATCGGCTGAAATTCATAATCGGCTACGGGGGTCCCGCCGATTTTGAATGAAACGTTGTAGCGCCGGTAATTTTTAACCTAAACTCACAAATTTGATACCAATCGACGCAGAATTTAATTCGCTACAGGATGATATAATATTGTTCTCATACATTAAAGGGTTGCTCTACTAGAAAGATTTGCCAAAAAATTTCATTTATAATCGGCTACGACATATATATTCTTTTACAGACTTTCCAATTCATGATGTGGTTTGACATTACGACAAACGGAGTCTTCCTAAAGATCCCCACCTTTTTCTGGGGTGGTTCACTCACTTTGATCACGTCAATTCTTTCATTTTTTTTCTGGTATTGGCGAGCGATGAGAACATTCATTCCACTTTTTCCTGATCCTCAACGACCTCGTTTTCCATTTATGTGACCATTTGTAGCACGATTGATATCAAATGAATGCCAACTGTAATAATAACCATTTGTATTGTCGTATTCATTTGTATATGTATTATTTTCCCGTTACTTTTGATCTCAAACCTTTTGTATTTGATGTAAACGATTACGGGTAATAAACATTGTCAAACTAACTTTCTTTTGTGTCCTTGGCGTTAATCAAATCAAATAAAATCCAAGAATTTTAACCAAATAAGACTGAAAGCAAGATCAGGATCTAAGACGGAGTTTTGAAATCAATGCTTAAAACGCTTTCATTTGAATTCACTGATAACAAGGTGAAAGCGATTTTCAAAATACTTCTTAGCTAATGAATTTCCGTGCTTCTAATGATCAATTGTTAGCTGTAAGTCGTTGAAACGATTTTAGAGCTCTATTGAGTTGAAACAATTTGTTCAAACGATTTTAGCGCTCTTTCAGTTTTTCTCATACTTGCTTGTTGTGATCAACTTCAGTGCACAGACATTAGCTGCTACATTGCTATTTAAACAAACAATTATTGCAGGGAAGGCAAAAAGCGGGTTGTTTCACTATTTAGAAATGAAAGAATTGCAAGTTTTCAGACCACAAGATGATGGGAGTTCTCCAATGCAAGCCTTTCATGCTTCACTATCTCTTGTTATTGCTATGTGCGGGTGAGTTAAAAAAGCAGTGATGGATAAACATTAGATTTCAGCTTAACAGTTCTTTCCTTGATTCTTCACATTCTGGCACTTATCTTTACGATAATTGGCTTTCGGCGAAGAATTCGAGCAATGGGTTACGCGTATCACGTATATTTGGTGAGTCTCTAATGATCTGATGGCATCTATTGATGAACGGAACTTGATAAACGGAACGAAGGAAACTTTTCAGATCTCTCAATTCATGATGTGGTTCAATACAGCTGCCAATGGGATCTTCATGCAAGTCTCTGAATTCTTTTGGGTTGGCGCCTTCCTTTTGATGAGTTCTGCTGTCCTATTCATTGTCATGTTCTGGAGAGCAAAACGAATCTTCGTCCCAATGTTTCCCGATCCACAATATCCACAATTTGCTTATTCAGCTTGATAATCCAACTTACTTTTCGTCTTGTTTTCCCTCAAGATCATTATGGGTGCTTGAATAAACTTGAAGATTCACAATTAGCAAACTACTGTACTTAACCTACCCAACTACAAAAATACAATATGATTTCATTTCCAAGATGAGGCCTTAAATCGATCAAATCTCTATTTACGTCTTCATTTCAAAATAAATCCTCTTTTCTAATCAAAAAGCTCAGAACTTGACGCCCGCTTTTCCTCTGATAATAGGCTTTCATCACGAAATTCGGGTCAAAAATTTTTAGACAAAGATTGATCTCTAAATTTGACTTGACTTTTCATTCTTGCAAGTTCAAAAATGTTTCCAACAAGCTTTTATATTTCAAAGGATACCGCAATTTCAGTGAGTTGAGTTCTTTCTAGAAGTCAAGTAAGGAGTGAATATTTTAGATAGCGTGTTATTCGTTGACTTTTCTTCATTTCATTAGTCAAGTGATAGGCGATGTGGTGATGGGAGTTGAATATTATCGAGGATATCAATATATTAAGGAGTAAGTGCGGGAAACTGGTTGTACTTTGAGCATTTGCAAACAGTTACTATTTCTAGCACAGTGAGACAGTTACTATATCTATTGAAGAAGTCTCATTTCAGTCCCGATAGTGGAAATGGTTCAGGGGGAAGTGTCAAAAGGGGATCACTTCATGTCTCAATCGGTCTTCTCATTGGATCTTATGCGTTCGTTATCCTTTTTTAACCTTTATCAAATTTCAGTTTAGTATGGTCATAGCTGGGATTCTTCTTTACATTACAACAATGGTTTTGACGATAATTGGATTTAGGAGGAGAATTCGATTACTTTCGTATGCTTACTTGATCTACTTGGTGAGTTGGATTGTTTTCTAGTTACAAGTTTTAAGTTATAAACTTGTTACAAATGCAAATCTTCTCCTGTTTAGTCAACCCAATTCCTCGCATGGTTCGATATGGGTTCAAGCGGTCTTTCAATGCAAATAAACAGCTTTTTCTGGATGGGATTCGGCATGGTCATACTCACATTTTGTACCTTTAGTATTTGGTTGTGGAGGGCAAAAAGAACATATCTTCGACTGGTTCCCGATTTTTATCCATCTCATTTAATGAAAGTCCCTAAAATGTCTCACGTTCCAGTTTATAGTGTTAGTAAAGAAGTTGTGTGATATTGATTAGCATCTAAAGATCAAATTAATGAGGAACAAAATGCGATTGAAATATTGAATAGCTCAAAGACTTGTATGTAACGGTATTAACTGTAAATAAATGTTTGGAACTAAAAAAAATCACAAAATCAATAAATAATAGATATCAATGAATAATCAAAAGAAGACAATCAATAGATTAGATCAATAGATGAATAGATCATTCTAAAATTGAAATCTGACGTGATTACCGGAAAAGATCTTTGGAATCGATTCTTTATTTGAAAAGGATTAACACTCAATCTTTTTGTGATAGAGAAAAGACTTAATGCTCTCAAACATTGATTATTTTACTGATGGGTCTAACGCTTTCACGGAAATCAACAAAAAGAATTGAGGTGAGGATTAAGAAAAAGAAGAAAAGCTTCAAATTTCAGTATTTCTCGTATCTTTTCCTCGTTCTCCACTACTCTGGTCAATTCATTATTGTCGTTCAGCTATGTTTAGCATATCAAAATGCATATGAAAGGTGAGTTTGGAGGCAATTTGTATCAACAATCCACCAAAGATCCATTTCAATCCAAGTCCGGTTTAGGGACAAACATAAGACTCCAGCCGAAAAAAGCAAAAATTGTCTTGATGGAGATGAACAACAAGCAATTGATATTCCCCTTGACAGCTTTAATCTATGTTTATGCGTAAGGGAAAAGCCTTCCTTATTTGTTTCCTTATCCTTAGAAAGCCATTATTTCCTATTGATTTCCCTTTTCAGAAGTACAATCACCGGTTTGGTGATGCATTTATTCGCTATTTTCTTCACTTGGATCGGATTCAAAAGAAACAATCTTTCCCTTTGTTATGTTTATCCTGTTTTCTTGGTGAGTTTTAATGAAAAAATTTGAATGAAAATCTCCAGATTGGTCAATTCTGGACTTGGCTAGATCAAGCATCTTCATCAATCACTTCAAACTCCGAATTCTTTTTCTTTTCAGCAATTTTCATGACCTTTTTGACGATCTTCAATTGGCTTCTTTTTATGTTTCGAATTAAATTGCATTTTGTGATTACTTTTCCGGAAGGAATACCTAGGATTTGAATCAAAAAGGAAATTTCTATTCTTGACTCAAGTTTTCTTCTTTTTTAGGGATGAAGCCATTTTTGTCAAACAAACCCACTTGAATAAGCTTAATAAGCTTTGGATTATTTTCCACGCTCAAAACCTTTTGATAGTGATCAGAAATTTTCTAAAAATCGATTCCCTTTTATTTTATGAGCTTTAATTTCTCGAGAAAATGGATCAAAGCGATCGAGGTTGAGATTTCTGATATCATTTCATTTTTATTATTCCCTTTTCACAGATTATCTCTTGGTTTCTTATCATTGCCCATTTTTCCGGACAAATTTTTGTGATGATCCAATTGATGAAACAATATCAAAAAGGATATCAAATGCAAAAGTAAAAAAGAAATGCAAGTAGTGGATAAACTTGTTTTTTTGCTCTCATTTTAGAGAACGATCCATAAATTGTGTTCAATGTGAAAATGGAAATGTTCAACTCACAACGATTCCACTCACCATTTTGATCTACTTATATGTGTGGGTTTACTTGGCAATCAAGGTGGAAAATCCTCACTTTTAAACTTTAAAGGATTGAGTTTGAAACAAGGAGTTGGTATACCAATTGGGTAACTACAGAGTGCGCATTAATTATGAGACCTCCCTATTTAAGAGACTCTCAGCCATAAATGTATATTAACAAGCACAATTTTTTTGACAAAGCAGCATTTTCTTTAAACTTTTGACAGGAAAACTGACTTTTGACAAGACAGTAAAATCATTAAGTTGCTGTACAGTATGAGCATTTTAACACAATTAATTGTTAAATCTTTTTCAAAAGCCACGAATGTGGCAGGCGCGTGGGTACCCACCACAAAGTTGGTCACAGACTTTTGCGAGGATTGTTTCTAAAAAACTTAAACTCCCATAAACAGATCATTGAAACTATAGTCTTTGATATTGAATTAACAAGAAAGCTCAAAACATTCAAGTTTACCGACTATGAACGCCTAAGAAATCAAAGCGAAACCTCAATAAAACACTTTCTTCTGGCTGTCTTGCACAAGAATGGCCTGTGAGCGGAAATGCTATTTGCAGAAAGGCAGAAATGCTAAACTTTTTGTGGAATAAACTTTAACTAGTTTAACAATATATATCTATAAAAGATTGAAGATTTAAAACAATGATTATAGGGATTTTTCTTGCTGTCTATTAGGCAGCCCATAATTAATGCGCACCCTGTTTGTAAGATTTAGGGAAAATGAGCAAAACTAACTTTGTGAATGTGAAGCCAATGGTGAATGGTTGAAGCTTTGGACTTTCAGAAGAGCTTTTTCAGAAGTTCAACTGCCGGTCTCATAATGTACTTGTTGTCTGTGGCTTTCACATTCATCGGTTTTCAGCGACGACTTCTCTCACTTTGTTATGTTTATCCGATGTATTTGGTGAGTTTTCGGTAACAGTTTTTGTTGTCCAATTGAACAGGAACTCCAGTTTATGTGAATAAACCTAAAAACTCGAATTGAAAGTGCTCAAAGTGATTGGGCAAATAGACAAAAGAGCAAGTTTCAAAGAAAAGTGTCATTGGATAAATAAACCGAAAGAATTTTGAAAAGTTTTGATGTTTTTGCTTTTAAAATGCTCTCGACAAATTTGAAAGGGACTTTTTGCAAAGTTTTTCTTTCAGTTAGCCTAATTCTATAGAAATTGTTTCAGTTGGCCCAGTTCCTGACCTGGTTAGACCAATCCGCAATGGCGATCACTGCAAATTCAGAAATATTTTTTATCTCAGGGATTTATATGGTTTGCTTAACGATTATCAATTTTTGTCTTTTCCTTTTTCGAATCAAATTGACCTTTGTGAGGATTTTTCCCAATGGACACCCTAGGTATTAATTGTTTAGAAGCATGTTAACTGTTTAAAAGAACCTTTAAGATTTTTTAAGTTAGAAAGAATTCTAGTTTTGTTTTTGTTTTTGTTTCCTTTATAGCTTTCTCGAACAAACAGTGTACTTTGTCTGAGCCATTGACCGGCATTGATAAGCATGGAATAAATTTGGTGACATGACATGATTGTTCACGTGATTTTTTTGTCTAACATTTTTGTATGAAACATTTCAACTACACATTTCATACATTGTATAATTCTTTCGTTTCCCATTGCTCAATGTTTACATTTTTTGATCGACGCATCACTCCATTTTTGCCCAATTTCTCTATAATCATCGAAAGCAGAAATTATTTCCCTACTTTAAAATTATATCCATTTCGATTTTTGATCAATTTTTGATGATTTGATTTGAGAACTTTTTAGGATTACTGATTGAACCAATAAATCCAAATCTAATCTCGAGAAATCCCTTCCCGAACGGGGAAACACTTCCATTTCCAATTTCCATTACCAGTTTGAGGGTCAATTGGGAAAAAAGAAGATGAAAAGAGAAAAGAAAAGAAATCTCGATAAAAACGATCATCAATCAGTTAGTTCAAAGGGAAATAGGCAAAAAAAAGCACCAATAATGATAAAATTCGGACTATGAAAAGGATTATCCCGAGAACATTTGAGCCGATTTTGAGAAAAGTCGCAGAATTGGTCCCCTTTCTAGTTTTGAGATTTGGATTAAACTCATTTCTATCAAACAATTCTTTTTTAAATAATAAAAAGCTATTCTTACAGTCATTTTTGCTTATTACCCAGCGCGAGTCTTCAATTTCAAAAAGAATATCTAACTAGGGAAAGGCATGAACTTGGCCTTTCGCTATGAGACCGATAGATTTGACTTATAGATTTGACTATGGGATTCCGAATCTGCTCTTAGTTTTTGCCGAAGACTTCGGAAACATTGAATATTTACCATACAAGATTTTGGCATCCCTATAAAACGCATCTTTCCCGCCTGCTAGGGTCGGTTGGTGGATAGGGGGCAACGGCCTATGCATTTTTTCCGTAGGTTCGACTCTCCTTGACGATTTTCCTTTTGAACTCGAACTAAGAACTCTTTTTATAGCATTTAAATTGCTAGAGAATCGTAAATAATTAGATCTTTATTCTTAATCAACTATTGAGGCATTTTTGCTTCAAAGACTCGTCTAAATTTGTCTCAATGTCTTGGCACAAACTAATTTACTTTCAGCTTAATTCTAATAATAAAATTCCAGGTAATAACCGAATCTATAACCTAAAAAGGTCGAATAGATTCTTTTCTGAATCATGGAGTTTCTCAAAGTGATGTTACATCTTGTGCTCGGCTTCTTGGGAATTCATTCAAATACAGCTAGTGCAAATGAAGTCGCCCCACCACTTCCATCCTCATCAATCGCAAGAGATCCTAATACGATACTCATTCTTTTTGGAACAAGGTAAGCGAATTCGGGATTAGTAGAAAATTTCGGTAAATTCTTTATGGCAAGAGAACACAGTAGAGACTAAATATTTGAATTCTAGACATGGCTGCCGAAACCCGGAAAACTATGTGAACCCAAGCGATAAGTCATGGGGACAAGAAGGACCTTTGGAGTTGAATCGAGTAAGAAAACAAGAAAAGGATGACGTTGGTTCATATTTCAGATTGGCAAGAAACAAGCTCTTGGACTTGGCAAAGAGATTCGCAAATTCATCGGAAATGATTACATAAATGCAAACTATTTTGGGAAAGAGGCTGTCTTCTATGCGTCATCAGCGCCAAGATGCCAGATGACCCTTCAAGTAAGGAAAACAAGCATAGCGTGGGAAATGGACTCTAGACTGCCATCGCCGGTTTATACACTCCACTCGGCTTTGCTGATTGGGATAAGAGATACGACAATTGGTCACCCGTTCCTTACACAATTGATGATCAACTCCTCAGAATGTACAATGTGAAGAATTGCCCGAAAAGTGATGAAGGTAATTGATGAAATAAGATTAAAGAACTCAGGGTTGACCTTCCAAAACAAAAATTTCAGCTTGGGCTCCAATCTCGAACGATTCATTGCCGTCACTTGCAAAAATGGAAAGCGAAAACATTGAGTTGCTCAAATACATGGCTGAGAATGTAAGTAGAAAGCAGAGTAAAAATTGAGAGCTAGTTTAGAGATTTAGATTTACTAAAATTGGGATTTAGACTGGCTGGCAACCAAAAGTTTCTTTGGCAGCTGATTTGGCAGACAATATCATTATGATCGAGCATACACGAGCGAAATATCCACAATGGATGAACAAGCCAACACTTGCTGGCTATGATAAGAAGAAACTTATTGCCGCTTATTCGGAGTTCGGTTCGTTTTGTTTTGTAAGGTTTAGAACTTGATTATTTTATCAACAAAACAGATGCTAATATTGAAATCCTTGATACTCTGGTTATGGGGCAATTGGTGACGCGACGCAATAATAGGTGACCGAACCGACCAAATCTAATTAGTAACTATTAGAGGCTGCGCTTCTATTAGAATCAATACCGTTTTTTTCGATTGAAACCTGACTAAGTTAATCAAATAACGTTATAACATAAAATATGTATGACAACAAGACATTACAATAAAGAAAAATGCAAAAACAAATATAAAACTTTAATCGTTTAGATTAATCAAATATGATAACTTATCCAAGAATGAAGCACAACCAACAAACAAAATTGGATCGACTAAGCCGGGGAAATTAAGCAAAAGATCTTGAACGTTTTTTGTCGCTTTCGTTCCTCTGCAGCTAACGATCCTCGCGGCAACAAGCCAGATTTGATGTTGTCCAAATTTGCTTTTGTCGTATCCAATTCTTGTCGCCACAATAGAAGAACTGCCTCGATGCGCGGACAACGGGCAAAAACATCAAATAAAGTCACCTATTGTCGGTTTGGTCACCTATTGTCGCGTCACCTATTGTCTAGGAATCTGACACTCTTGCTCAATTCTAGCTGAGGCTCACTATAAGGCTTGTGCCGAACACATGCCTTGCCGTCAAATGATGGGCGGGTATTGGTTGAAACACACGATTGATTCGATGAAGACAGCCGCCACTGGAAAAGGACCAAAAGTTATCGGATATGCATCGGTTTGTTTAGAAATAAAGGAAACGAGTGAACATCAACAAATTTTCAGCACACTGAGGTGACTTTGGCTGTGATGAAGTTGATGGGATACACGAGAAAAGAATTGACTACATCAGCCGGTTTCGTTCTTGAGTTCAAGGTAAAGTATTTCGAAGTCTAGATTAAGCTTAAACTTGAATCGCTATCAATTAGAAAGATTTCAGAACACTCCCCAAGCAATGGTTCGTCTCCTTGAACATGATCCAAATCCCGTCGACAAACATGTGATCTACCAGGTAAAAGATCCGAACTTCAACTCTTTCTTCAAATAAACTTTTCAGGGCACTCTGATTCCTGAATTGTCATCTCTTCAAGATTCAAATGGTTTCATTCCATTGGCCGATTTCGAGAAAGTTATCGGTCAATTTGAGATCTCCGATTGGGAGGTTTGAAAGATCATCCTAAAATCATTTTATATCAAAATTTAGACTGCTTGCGGTCGAACAAACAATTGCCAAAAAGCCTAGAAATCTCTTGCGTATAATATTATTTCTATGGTGCTACTTGCTTGATTCATAAATGTTCATACAATAGAATAAAATTTTCTAAACATTCTTTCACCTTTGTTTTTCTTTGACAGACTCCTCTCACGCATGACAAGATTTACGAAAAGTTCTTTGATGTTTATAATCCAGGTTTTTGGGGGGAAACCCCGAAAACGACTGAAAAATGATACAAATCATTATAGGCTAACAGCTAACCATTTAGCTAACCATATAACAAATCTGTAAAATAAAAATGAATGAATTCAATCTAATATCCACAACGACAATCTAGCAAGACTTGCAAGTGTTTTAATCTTCATAATCGCATCACTTTCCATATTTTCCTCTTCTTCTGGCATTATCGAAGGGTAAGGAGCATAAGCAGTTCTCCATCCGTAGCGCTTTTCTTTACTCGCGGGCCATGTATTTTGTCTAAATTCACAGTATATTAAATTGTAAAAGGCTAAGATCACCTGACATGATTCTGATTGCAGGCAACATTGAGCAGTTTTGTGGCAACCCCTTCCGAGATCTGTTGCCGACGTCGATTGTTGAGATATAGACCAGCAAAACTAAAACTTTATTGGAGAGTTGTGCAAGAAAAGAAACACGAAAAAACTCTTTCGGTATATACATTTGTGGCTAGAGATGCAAGTAATTCTTGTGAAATGGCGAACATAAGTTGAAGTTCTTCTTTTTGAGAATACCAATCATTTAATAGCAACTCACTATTTGTAAACTGGAACTGGAGCGCGCACATTTACCACTACGCCATCCGGTCATGCTGGGATTTTTCAACCATTCCGAAAAACACATTTTACATGCAAAAAGTTTCAATTATATTCCAAATATAATAAAAACAAAAAAAAACAGAAATAAAGCTTAAATCAACGAGTTATTGTCCTTGAACGCGCGTGATACCTTGTTGCGACAATTATGGCACGCCCTGTAGACACTTTAGCCCAGTGTGACTATTCATGCATTTCATTTTCTACCCAATAATTTCATTGAGTGTCTCGTTCCCTTGGCTTTTCACTTTGTCTATCGATATTTTCTGATTTGCAAGTGGGTATTTACCTTAAAATTTCTATCAATAATTTCAGAAATCATTAGCTTTTCCTATTCAATTCTGGGAAATATGTGCCCATTCATGTGGGTATTTGGTTGGGAATGGGTTCTCTTTGGGAAACAGTTCTACACATTTATATGTATTACACAGATACTCTAACGGCAATCAATTCAGAAGCATTTTTCTGGATAAGAATTCTTCTAGAGATATTTCCGGGATGCTCTTTGGGAAACGTACGGCTTCGATGTGAACAAAACTGCTATATTGGGACCGTTGTATAAGTTGAGACTAGGAATTTGCATTAAATCACTTCTTTAGGACTTCACTTCCTTGTCCATCATTCAAAGACCGTATTTTCTCTAATAGTAGTGCACCCCGCCGAGCCGAGTTGATGACTATTTTACGGTTTCCAAGTTTTCGCAGAAGCTCAACACTCTAATTCCCCACAAGATCCCATCGTCAGTTATATTTCCGATCCCACATCGATGGGTTCTGATAAGCGGTTTTCGAGATTTCGAGCAATTTCGGCAACGCTCAGGGTGCACTACTACTAGAGGGAATACGGTAGACAAAACTAAATTTTTAGCACCTAAACGCACTTGGTGTCGAAGTGTGGCATTGGGGTCAACTCTAATCTTTCTCTGTTTGTATGGTTGAATTGGGATCGACTTTTGCAGTCATAATCAGAAGATTGTCCTGTCAAATACATAAAACAATTAAGGTATTAATAAAGTTGTTTTTGATTTGGGAGAAAATTCAGAAATTCTAACCTTTTATCTTTGTAGACGGCTGCGATGAGCAAAGCTTCGAGAAAACTTCAGATACAACTCTTTCGAGCGCTGCTTGTTAAGGTAATTGAGAACGAAATGAAATAATCACCAAGGATCAGTCACCTGCTCATCATGCGCTAACTCCTTAACAGAATCAATTTTCAGACAATGATTCCGATAATCTTTGAATACCTCCCTTGTGCTGTCACTTTCCTCAGTCCACTTTTTGGTATTCCGCTGGGAAGAGGATCCCAATTTTGTGCCTATTTTCATCGGAAAAGAAGAGAGGAAGAGGATCACTTCTATGAGCAAAATTTTCGTTCATATTTCAACTCTTCATTACTTTTTGTGAAAGATAAACGAACAGTTTTCTCATTGCAATACGCATTTTGTCAGTCATTTGCTTATTCAAAATGCTAATACACCTATTGTCTAAAACGTTAAATCAGAAAAATCTGCAGCAAATTGTATTTCTTATGCTGCCGTCGTGTATAAAAGGAGAGCCAAGCAATGTCCGTTCATCAATATTTTGAAAAAATGTGCTTCATTTCGGTTCTTCTTGGACTATTCGCGGTGATGGCTACAGTGATGAGCTTCGTGAGAATCGGATAGAATTGCAACTGAATTTAGAATGGTTGATAATGAATTAGATATGAAGATCGTTAAGATAAGCTAGCATCCGATTTTCCGAAACAAGAGAGACTAATCATTTTCAATCCAGAAAGACCACGATTGTCCAAACATTGTTTTTTTTGAAATATCGAATAATAAAAACTAGGTATCATACATAGAAGATTCTTAAAGTTGAACCCAACATTTGCAATCTTGACTTGATCATCATCAATTTCTTAGTGTCCACACGATTCATGTCATTCTGATCCTGATTGTAAAGGATGGAATAAAAAACACAAAGCACGTACAATACCAACTCACATTTTGGCCAGTTCTATCCAAAAAATTTTTAAGCATCCAGTTCCCTTGATGCAAAATCAACAAATTTTCATGTTATTCGCACCATTTCCAAATTTTTTTGTGGCCGAATCCTCAGATTTGATCAGCTAAATCAACACCTTTCTCATGACATCCCATACAAGTCAAATCAAAATTGTGAACCAGGCAATTGATTTATGATTGGCGCAGGTTTACAAACCAGAAAATTTATTCTTTTTGAACCGTTACTGAGTGTCAAATAAAAACTCGACGAGTGTGGATAAATTGTTAAAAATCTGTACACAATCAAACGAAGGTTAAACAAAAATTTCAAGAATGTGCAAGATTCAACCCATGAAAATTGTGTCTACAGTAAAATTGCACCTTGTACTGAACAATAAATCTTTGTCAAGTAAAATCTAAAAATATTTGCACAAATTGTTCAGATAAATAAACAAAATAGACAAGAAAACTTTGCAATAATCGACAAAAAATAGTACAATATGAATCAACACATCAAATGATTTGTTAGTTTTTGGGACTTGATTTGGACAAACAGTAGCAATTCACATTCCAGAGTCGAATCTGAAAAAGTTTATAATGGAGGCGAGTCGTGTACTGTACGGAAAATGGGTAAAAGTCCTATTCAATAGTAACAAGTTTAACAACATAATTTTGAAGAATATGAAGTTAAAACAATTTCCAAATTCAAAGTTTAGGCCAAATAATTATTTAGGTGTATAATATGATCCAGTACTTAAACAAAAACACTACCGATTGTGATTGCGAGAAAATAGAGGCTGACGAGTTGAGCGATTATTGGTGGGGTGCATATTTGATTGACGAACCGAGTTTTCTGATTGATATTGTGGATACGACAATGGCAAACTAAAACATTCAAACTGTAAAGAATTTTACTCTACAATATTTATATTTAGAACGTTAAATCTAAGATTCACCCTCAATACTTAACATTCCCTTTGATCTTTGCCGCAGACCCTCTGAAATTTGCATTGCATATCATCCCCAAAAATCAGGAAAAAATCGCTACTGGGCCTCGAATTATGAAGTGAACGGACACACATCTTTTGCGCCTTATAATAAGTAAGATTAATAACAAATAATACCTCATGTTATGGCGTGATTCAACGTTCGAAGCCCATGGAGGAGTATAGCGAAGAACGTGTGTTTGTTCCTAAAAACACGATAACTTTTGCTGAACAACCGAAAAGAGAAACTAACTCGATGCTCTTCATAAAAGGGTGGCTCCGCTGGTAGAATTCTAGACATCAATGGACGAGGATTTGACTGCTGGTTGACAGCCATCGAATCTATCATCTCAGGGCGACGATTCTAAATATTAGAACAATACGTAATAGGGTTTATTCTTGCTTCAAGGTTGTTAAGATGACTTAATAAGCAATTTATAAGGAAAGCAACCTACCGCTCCGAGCGGAATTCCCATATTTTTTCGGTGGTCTATGACTTTCTGGTTCTTGAGGTGATGAATGTACATGCATCGGTCTCCATATCGACAGAATCCTGTTTGCGAGAATTTTGAGCAGAGTTGCGTCTTGTACTTGGGATGCCTCTTTCCGCGAGCCTAAAACAATAACCTTATTATTATTGTTAGCAATACCAATGTGGAACTATAATGTCTATTGTCATACACAAAGTAGTAACAACCCAACCTCGGTTTGTCTGAGTTCAGAGATATCATGAGCAAACCTTAATCAAAACATTATGTGTAATTAGAACCTCACAAACGTGCATTTCTCTCCATAAGGACACTGCTCTGCATTTTTCACTGCTCGACACATTGAAGTCTTGTATGTGGCTTGCTAAAGGACAAAAAACAGTAATATTCTCGAAAACCTGTTCATTAGTTTAAATTTTACCCTGCGCTTTTCCTCTTGATGCTTCTCAAGTTCCTCGTCGTTCATTCGAAGGGTGGCGAGATCATCAGTGAGCGATTGTTCTACCATCGTTGAATCCATATCCATTGTCTGAGAAAGCTCTTCCATGCTACCGTCCATCAAATCGTTAAGCTAAAATCAAGAAATTGTTTAGTCCGTAAAATTTAAAATCTTATACTCTATTTGCAATAAGTCAAAGCGGAGTCTTCTGCACTTTACTTACAAAAACTACGCGTACTTGAGTTAGGAAACACTCACTAGAATCAGATCTACATTTCAGATGCTACAAGGAGCAAAACAAAACCTACGTGATCGATGCACACCGGCATCGTGTGATTCATCCTGTCGCTTGAGAATCCTTTGTAAGTTCTCGCATAAGCTCGTCCAAGTTCATCGGAACTTGTCGGTTTGTCGAAGATAGATTTACAGCGCTGCATTTCCTAAAAACTCAATTGATTCATTAAATTTGAAAAGAAAACAAAGACCAAGAGAAATAAAAACAATAAATGCCTAAGCATGCACAAAAACAATAAACGCCATCAAAATCTTTAAATCGAGCAGTTTTTAAGATTTATCTATATTTTAAATAAGAAAATTGATCTTCCAAAAACAACTCGGCTTTGTGATAGAAGGCGGTGACATTACGTGAAAGAGATACGTTTAGAAACTTAAAAAAGCATAACCGGCGACCACAAAGAACTGAAAAACGATTGTGGAAGAGAGAAATTATTACGTCGTTGATTTCAAAGTATTCAGTGGGTTAACTGAATATCTTATTTCGTCATTTTCACCCATACTCTTGAAGTACCGTCCCCAAGTGTCGCTATAGCCAGAGGCAAACTACGTTTTTTGCGTTTTTCTTGCCGCTCACTTGACGGATTTGGCTACATGGATATTAATCAGGGCTATCAAATGAAACCAAGTGTAGCCAAATCCGTCAAGTGAACGGCGAGAAAAACGCTAAAAACGTAGTTTGCCTCCGGCTATAGGGACACGGTACTTCAAAAGTATATTTTCACCGTTTAAGTAGGTACCATGGATGCACTGCGGATTTCTTTGTTATTTTTGTTGTCAAGCCAGTTTCTCTACATGAAGCGCAATTTATTCTAAATAAATTAAATCAAATTACACAACATAGTTATTTCAATCCTCGATCACTTCACCGGAATAATGAGCAACAAGAAAAATAAAAAACAAATCAATGTCACTTGATGCATAGATATAATATCCTAAAAATATTCACTAAAATAGAACAATCTTTACAGATCACAAAATAAAAGCATAATGTGTAAAACAAAACCGTCGTTTTATCATTTTGTACTGCTTGAGGTCACGTCGAGCTTTTCTAATTCTTCTTCCAATTTATGCATTTCATCTTCGTAATGGGCTCTACGATCCAATTTTGATAGTTGATTTTGTTCGAGTTTCTCCTTTTCACCCATCTCAATTCGATGCTAAATTATAAACTTAGAGCACTAAAATTACGCAAACCTAAACTTCTTTATTAATCAGAAATCTACTTGCAAACGTAAAATTAGTAAACATAACAGTTTTTATCATCTATAAATCCTCACCTCCAGAGCAGTAATCTCGTCAATTTTCTTTTGTACATTGTGCATTTTCCTCTTCACGTGGTCTTGCGGTGTGATACAAGCGCTGGCTTTCTCGATTGCTACAATCGGCTTCTTCGGTCCTGTCGGCATTTGTCCTTTTGCCATTGCCATCGGTGTCATTCCAACGGGAAATCTAAAAGTAAAAGTATTAAAGGAGTAATACAGCTTTTATATTTTTAATTATTTTTTAAATTGTCTACGCAAATACTTCGTTAATTCTTTACAATATGAATCTTTGCTTTAAAAAAAGCCTTTTCTTTACCTTTGTTTTGGTATTTCAGCGGCTTGACGACCTTTCGACATATACTTGGGCTGCTCTTCTTGTGGAACGTATCTAAAGTGCCAAATTACCGTAAAAACTAATAGAAGCCCCGGAGCTTCAATTTTCCAACCCTCCTTCCAAGGGAGCTTCAAATAGAGACTTCTATTAGAATTTTTACGATACTGAGAATAAAAATGGCAATCAAATTGCGCGTCGAATGGTATCAAAATTAATTCAAAATATAATATCTACACAAAGTTATGAGGCAAAAGGTTAAGTCCTGCCCATAAATGGCGGGGTTTAGGTTTTTAGTCTACAACTTTCGAGTTTATTATCTTTTGAGTTAATTTTGGTGCCATTCGACGCGCAATTTGATTCTGCATCGAATGGTAGTCAAAACAATCAAAATCGAAGGGTTGGTGCTGAGAAAAATTCAACTTTGTCCGACAGGTGTTTTTGGCACAGTATTACGACCCTATGTTCCATAAAATTTTGGAATAAGTGTCTCGAAGGTTTTATCATAATTTCTCGTAATCAATAGTCTTTTATCTTTTCCAACAAATTTTAAAAAACCAAAAACTCCATCTAGGCGCTAGAGTAGTTGGGGGGACAGTCTGGAACTTGACCCAAAATCAATCTTTTTCCACGTAAACTTGCACACAGGGGTTTTTGACTATTCTGAATCGATTAGTAATACTTTTATATCTTTTTTTTTATTAATTGTATTAATTAATAACATTTTTATTAAAAACTCGAATACGGGCAATTTGCCGAAAAACAGGTCCTACCTAACCTGTCAGGGAGTTCTTTTAGACGCAACACCAAAAACAGTTTATGTTTGTTGCTTTTCCCTTTGATAATATGTATTTTTACAGAATGGTCGCCGCCGCTTCACGTTTGGACCTACAAAACTTTAATTTGCTAACTGAGTGGCCTCGTTTAAACATAAATATAAAAATTTTTTAAAGGTATAAAAGTATTACGAATTGATTCAGCTAAGTCAAAAACCCCTGTGTGCAAGTTTTCGTGGAAAAATATTGCTTTTGGGTCAAGTTCCAGACTGTCCCCCCCCCCAACTACCCTTGCCCCAAGATTCTAGTTAAATGTAGAGTAAACCAACCCTTCTTTTACTTTTCTCGGTTTTCTCCATGTTCCATCAGGTCGCTGACTTGACGCAATGAATGTTCCTAAATCAAAATATAAATTATCACAAGTATAGAAAAAGAAATTACAAAATTAAGTGATCGCGATACTACTCTTTTTTCATTAGCACTTCTTTTTAATTAAAACAATAAGACCCTTACCATCATTTGTCTTTATCCGGAGATCGCCACTACCGCTACCCGAAGTGGATGCCATTCCAACGCTTCTAAATTTAAAAAATTAGTAAACCAAAAAAATAAAGAGGAAAATTCACTCAAGAATAACGAAACTTAGTCAAAAAAGCAACGGAAGTGAAAAAAATGAAAATATTGGCAAAACGCCAATTTCAAAAAGTCCACAAAATAGAGAAGAGTTGTGCATTAAAGGGGAACCGGCGCCAATTTTACGCCAACCACCTGTTTTTTATCGCGATTTAATTATAAAAATAAAAATCACCCGGCTAGAGTGTGGGGTTTACAAATTTTGGCGCTGCAAGGCTCGCGTAGTTCATCTACAAGGTAAGGGAAAGTAAAGCAAAAGTCCTTTTTTGCCTTTCCTTTGTTAACATCTCTAGATGCCTTTTCAAGATGGAGATGTTATTTTTAGATAATGCAAAGATCATTGCTAATCTAGCTGGTTTTAAATACTCTCGAAGCCAAGAAAACTTATGTTGGAAAAACCACAACGAATGGAAAAAAATCTAATGGTCAATCAAAGCGCTGAAGGGGGGAGATCCAGTCATTTCTGTTGAGGTGCGCGGAAATTGACAAGATAGGAAGCCAATCTGAGAAACTGCTGTACTTGAGCGAAGTGAAGTGAGCAAAGGAAGAATATAGATTAACACTTTTTGTTTTTGTGCTTTTTTTTAAATTTATCTGCAATTAAAACCGATCGATCTAGGTGCTGGGTGTCGGACGCTTCAAGCCTTGCAACGTCCCAAAAAGTTGTAAACCCATCAAATCACTCTGCCGGGGTTTTTCTTATAATTAAATCAGCGATCTAAAATAAAAACAGGTGGTTGGCGAGCCCCCCCGCATAATACCCCCCTTTAAACTAAAGAAACATCATTTGCATTGTTCTATATTGATATTTCTCGGTGATATTTCTCGATTCTCGCATTTTTTCTTCATAGATTTTAATTCACATGTGAGATTAACAAAATACTTGAACTTCTACAAACTTTATTGATTCTTTCCAATTTTTCTACTTGGTACAACAGTAATTGAACTCTTTGAAAAGCGATTCCTCGCTCCAATCTGATTCTCAGAAGGTTTTCTAACAAAAAAAAATAGACAAAAATGATCCATTTTTTCACCGTTCTTCTATACGGTCTCGTAGCAAAAATCACAGTGAGACTGGTCATAATTGAGTGGATACTTGTGAATAGGGTACACATTGAACCAACTGAATTGTTGAAATGACTCGTATATGTTGATGAACAACCTATGGAAAAGAATGTTCCTTGAAGAAGACCAAGAACACAGAAAATAGCGATTGCATAGGGAGTCCCCATGAAAAGGATCAGGGCTGCTACCTGAATTCATAACTTGTCTCTTGTGAAAAATTTCGAGTCAATGTATAGATCGGTAAGTTTTATTCTTTACAGTTGCTGTAGTGTATTATAGTGATTTTGCGGTCTTTCTAGCTTTTTAGGCCAGTTCGAGACTCACTATTTTGCATGCATAGCAATCACTTCATTCCATTACCTGATAGAGAAAAACGACGGTGAAATATCTTTGAATATCTTTCGTTTTTCTACTCATTTGCTTCGATTTTGATATGTAATCGAGAAAAGCCGAATGTGAAAGATATCCGCCAATTAAGAAGAAAAAGATAAAGAATGGAATTGAGGTCTTCATTAGAAAGAGTGTCGTCGGAGATGGAAGCATCAAAAGGACACCTTTCTCTCCACATAAAAGAATATTCAACAAGCAAAGCTAAAACATAGGGTTTTGAAAGAGGATTTTAAACTTGAAGTACTTTTGCAGGATCATCTTCAAGTTTGTGATTCAAATAGAGATCCCAGATGCCAAAGAGAGCACAGCATCAATGCAATCAACATACATATCATCGATATTGTTCTCAAGTACTTTGTGGTTTTCCGCGGATGAAGTCGATCCATTCGATAGAAACCACCATAAATGAAAGCAGCCATGGAATAAAGTACACCAAAGATATGAAAATTCTGAAAGGATGGAGTTTATAACATATGTTCGACACTTGTCAGTTATGTTGGTAAGTCATTTGTACAATAAACTCCTGGCATACCCCAAAAACACATGTACTGAAAGCAATTTTTGATGGAAATGGAATATTGAGTAGAATGAGTCCAGGCAATTCTCCAAGTATAAGTGGTTCACCAAATAAAGTAAAAGTGTCAGCGATTTGGGCTCCAATCTGATTGGTAAGAGTTGAGTAAAAGTTAACAGAAATCCATTAAATCTAACATTGGTATAATTTTTACCAGTAAATTGATTTGAATTGCCTTGTACGTCCTCGTAGCCAATGAACTGTGATAAGCCAAAAAATATAAGGATAACAAAAAGAGACAGGTACTCGAAATCCAGGCCACCGAAAATAAAACCCATAAAACTTGTTTAAAGTTATCATCCGGGATGAACATTTGAGGAGATTTGAGAATTTTTACAGCATTTGGCTTCAGAGTTTGTTTTCAAAAATTATTACACAGGTGAAAGTTTTCTTCTTTTCATTTTTGGCAATAAATATTTAATTGCAACTTTTTTTCCAAACATTTAAAAAAATGTTTGTATTGAGAATGATTCTGGCGTTAAAAGATTCTTCGAAACAAATAAAAACCTAGAGAACTTTCTGTGGAAAATAAGGATTTTCAATAGGTTTCACTCATCATAGAGTTGTATAGTCTTGTGTTTTGCTTCACCCGTTCCACACGCACATCTCGAACATCAGTACTTTATAGTTGAGAATCAGTGATTCGTGCGGGTGATATCAGTCTCTTTTTCTCCTTTTTTTCTATCTTTTTATGTACTCTATAGTTTGAACTAAAATGAAAGAAAGGAAGAAGAATCTCTCCAAAAATCATTTCTTTTCTCTCAATTTTTCTGTCAAGCAACCGCCTTTCCGTCTGATAAAGCCACACAAACCCATTTGTGAACTTTGTTTTGAAAATTTTCTAATTAAAATTGATCTTAGTTTTTTGTTTGAGACTGTTTCATCTAATAATATTCAACCATCTTGACAATTAACTCGACTCTTAGACTTGTTGATCTTATGCTTGTTAAAGAATAACACCCATTTCACTGTAGTCTGAACTAAAATGAAAGAAAGGAACAAGAATCTCTCCAAAAATCTCGCGTGTTATAAGCAGTAAAGTAAAGTGAATTTTAAGGTAAAAATGTCACTGAACTCTTATATTCGCCCTGGGGACAATCCCGATTTGACCGAAGAAAGAGAAAAGGGAATTTTCCCGACAAATGAGATGACACAAGTCATTCATGGAAGAGAGCTCAGTGAAAGGAGGAAACAATTGACTGCGTATATTGAACGGTCACCCGCGTGAGTTTCTCAAATTAAACATCAACGTTATATTATATCAAGAAAGTTATATTTTAGAAAAAAAAAGTTATATCAAGTAATATCTACTGTTAATTAAACTCTGCTTAATCCAGCAAATCTTCAATTTATTATAGGCTTCACGATGCTGGTGAACAAGCATTCATGACCCGCGAAGAGAAATACGAAGATGCAAGCAGAAAAGTAGCGTTTTTCAAACAGTGCGACCAAATTTCTTCATTAACGATTAGACATGGGTTTCGGTTCGGTTCGGTTTCGGATTGAACCAAAGCGGACTCAAAAAAGCTATCCAAAACCCGTATTTAACAATTAACTGAAAATCTCCAGATGGCTGAGATCTTCAAGAAAATCAAGGAGATCGGAAGTGCGCCTGGAGAGGAATCTTTTGCTCATATCGTAAAGTAAGTCAAAATTTTATAAAAAGAACCTCATAAAGACTTCTACGTTCTTTTAGTGAAGTGATTGGAATTGATGGACACCCATTGGCCCTTCAACAAATAATGTTCATCCCATCTCTCCTTGGGCAAGCTGACGAGGCACTTTTGGGTGAGTAACACTATAGTGAGACAAAACAGCAAGACTTTCCAGTACAGTAAAAGTTACCTTTCTGGTTTATAAACAGAGCTTTATAATGTTAAACAAACCAATTTTCAGCAAAATTTGGAGATCGAGCTAAACGCGGCGAGATCATTGGAACGTATGCCCAGACGGAGATGGGACATGGAACAAATCTGAGATTCCTCGAAACAACTGCCCATTTTGATAAAGCAACTCAAGAGTTCATCATTAACAGCCCCACAACTTCTTCTATCAAATGGTCAGTCTATAAAAAGCTTTGTCTTACATCGAATTACAGGTGGCCAGGCAATCTCGGCAAATCGTCAAACTATGCAATTGTGGCCGCTCAGCTATTTTTGGATGGAAAGAAAATGGGACCGCATAACTTTTTGGTTCAATTGAGAGATGAAAAGACACATATGCCAATGAAAGGTTTGTATATGAAAGCATACCAAATCAGGGTAAAATTTAGGTGTGATGGTGGGTGATATTGGGCCAAAGTTTAGCTACAATACCACCGATAATGGTTTCCTCAAATTGGATCATGTGAGAATCCCGAGAAGTCAAATGTTGATGAGACATGCTAAGGTGAGTTTAGCTTTCAATCCAAGATTAGACTGTGACTTGATGAGCACATCCCTTTAGGTTCAACCCGATGGAACCTATGTGAAACCACCACATGCAAAAATTGGATATGCAGCTATGGTTCATGTGAGGTACTGCAATCAAAGCACTTAGTCGTAACTTTCATTTAATTTCAGAGCTTACATGATCCGTTCACAAGCTCATTTCTTGGCTCTAGCCACAACAATCGCTATTCGATACTCGGCCACTAGACGACAAGGAGAGATAAAACCTGGGTAAAAGAAAAAAATAGGATAATAGCATTCAACTTAAATTTTAAGCATTAAACCTTATCATTACAGAGCTGGAGAGGTGAAAATCTTGGACTATCAAACGCAACAACATCGTCTTTTCCCACAAATCGCGAGAACTTATGCTTATTACTTTGCGGGATCGGAAGTGTTGGCTCTTTACAAGAAAACATTGGAAATGATCAAAGAAGGAGATGTAATAAAAGGGTATTGACAAGGAAAAGGAGATTTCAGGTCACACTGATGGCCGATCTTCATGCTGTGACTTCTGGAATGAAAGCTGTCGTCTCATTTGAGGTTTGGAAAGTTTCATTTGAGGTTTTTTAAGAATCAAAACCTAAATTTGGTTATGAAACCAATACAGCATGAAATCTATCACTATGAGTGCTTTTTAGGTTGGACAAGGAGTTGAGCAATGTCGAATGGCTTGTGGAGGTCATGGATACAGTGCTGCGAGTCGATTCCCGGAAATTTATGGTAGAATTTAGATTTGATCTGTGGCTTAATCGATAAACTATCACCCAATCTCGAAATTCTTCTAGGTGTGCAAATCGGTGGTGTCACTTATGAAGGCGAGAATATGGTGATGTTGCTTCAATTGGCTCGGTTTGGGTTTAAAATATGATAATAACCAACCTATTCAAGAGCGACAATCATGACAATTTAGATACCTGATGAAGGCAGCAGAACAAGCAAAGAAAGGCGAAAAGCTCTCTCCATTGACTGAATATCTCAACAAGAAGAATGGGAAATCACAGCTTTGTGCAAACTCGGCAAATAATGCACAATATCTCATCGAAGTATCAGAAAATTAAGTTTAAAGTTAAGAAAACATTTGTTTTAGGCTTTTGAACACATTGCTCGTCGATTGGTATTGAGAGCTTTTGATCGAATGAATTCTCTTCGTCAAAAAGGGCTCTCAAAGGAGGATGCATGGCAAGCAAATGCTGTTGAAATGAATCGGGTAAGCTGAAGTTGTCAGATTCTGTAAAAGAGCTCAAACTACTGTAAAGTCCAGTTGGCAAGTCATTCAGTCATTCAGTGCATTCATTCAGGACATTCAGCGTCATTCAGTGTATTTATAAAAAAGAAAGGCAAGCTTTTATCCAAATCTTTCCAGGCTTCTCGAGCGCACACTCGACTTTTCATCGCGAGAGCCTTCTATAACCGGGTAATCTTTGTTGTGCTTATATGCTCATTTATTGTATGTTTTAAAGATCAAATCCATTTCAGCTTCATACGAACAAAGTCGATGACAAGAGAATTCATCAAGTTCTCACCGATCTTTGCTTCCTTTTCCTCAACTATGAACTCCTTGACATGAGCCATTATTTGTTGGAGGTGCTTGATTTCTTGATTTAAAGCTTTTAAGATGACAAGATTTCTTGACTTTATAAAAGTTTTTAGGACAATTACATGAGCGCTGATCAAATTGGTGTTATTCGTGAAAGTGTTTACAATCAATTAAAGAAAATCCGCCCAAATGCTGTTTCATTGGTGAGTTCATTTTAAGTAAAGAAGACAAGACAAGACAGGACAAGAAAAGACAAAAACTTTCAAATAAAACTAATTTTTAAAGTAAACCGTTTATTCATCGATTTAGGTTGATTCCTATGATATCTCTGATCGTGAATTGAGAAGTGTTTTGGGACGAAGAGATGGAAATGTTTATGAAAATCTTCTCAAATGGGCTAAAGCAAATCCACTCAATAAAGAAGAGGTAAAGGAAATTAAGAAAAGTACATCCTGAATTGAGAAGTGTTTTGGGATAAAGAGAACTCAACAAATTTCCAGGTTCTGCCCGGATTTGCCAAGCATTTGCAACCGATGATGGAAAGAGCTCGAGAGAATAGCAAACTTTGAGAATTTACCCTTAGTATTAAAGGATTCTCTTTTATGTAGAAAATGAATAAATCTTCATCTTACGAAAAGAAAAGTTAAGCAACAAAAGCCAGTCAAAGTGATACTTGATGCTGGCACTTGAAGGTACTCAAAATGGTTGTAATCGCTCCTTTTTCCTTGAATGACCTCTTTTAAGATTATACCTGGTCACACCTTGTACCGATCCGTGAAAAGCATTGTGTGAGGAGTGATTTTTTGGCACCTCTTCACTTCTCTTATTCCCTATCATTCCCCATTTCCGTCCCATCAAACTTAAGCCTTCCTTTTCCTTAATCCTTTTTTTCTATTCCCCTTTATAATCAATGAGTCTTGTCTTGCTCAAAATGATTGCCCATTTCCACATCAAAACACTCTAAAGCATTTCTGAAACCTTTTCTAATTTGTCATCAATTTCAACGTCAATTTCAATCAACAACTGAAAACTGGAAGTTGTACTTTTCGAAGTTTCGATATTATTTCCGAAATTGATTACTGATTCATCATTGAATGAGTAAATTATTTTTTCTTTTCTTATTTTTTGCTCTATGTGGGTGTAGCACAGATGAATCTAATGACTGTTTGAGGAGTAAGTCGTTATTGTCGACATGTATCTAAAAATTATATATCATATTGGGTTGGTGAATTGAAAACTGCGGGCTATTGTCATATGTGACAGTTTGAGCGCTTTCTCCAAAAGAAATCCATTTTGGTGTCAATGGAAAAGTTGTAGAGAATCAAAATGAAGCTTATTCCAAATTTTCAGAACGTTCAAAACTGGTTTTCAAGAAATGCCAAATTCGAATTTTCGCAAACTTGCATTTTAAGCGGACTACTAGTGTTCTTTTTGGTTTGGCTATATGCCTATTTTGTTCTCCTTGCACCAAATGGGTCCTTTTGGTGCTCAAACTGGCCTCCATTGTGTCCCCCGCTCTCCGGTCCTCCACTTTTGAGTCTCACACTTGTCTCACACACAAACCAGAATCCTACCACGAAAGAGGAATCCGCAAATTGCCTGTAAAATGGGCAGAAGTCGTCAATAATATGGATTATTTGATGAATTTTGGTTTTATGTTGATTAAATTTTAGTTCAAAGTCCGGCAGTTTTCAATTCACCAACCCTATACATCAAATCTTTCTAGTTGATGCAATCAATTATCGTTCAACATGCAAAAATCACTTCGCGGTTTATTTCATTTTGCTTATGAATCGTGATGATCCAAATGTGGCATTCGAGCATGTAAAGAAAATACGACCAATGCTTGAACCGTGTATGAAAATGGAAGATGGAAAAAATGAGACTGCTTGGAGGTGAAAGAAAATCATACATGATACATTAAATGAAATAAATGATAAAAGTGAAACTCTGTACTCAAATTTAGTGAGATCAAATTTGTGACGAATCAAAGCATTTCCGCAAATGATTGCTCATATCTAACATTTCCCGAGGTTCATTCATGGACACAATTCCCAAATCAGTCACATCTCTACACAGCTTTCATCAATTTTCATTGGTAAAAATTGGCTTTCATTGGTAATTTATGCTCAGGCTCAGGCTCTTAAGCTTGTCCTAATGTTCTTGAGTGCTCAATCATTTTTAGGACCTCAAATGATATTGGTTTAATGCAAATGCTTTCTGATGCTCAAGCAATGCATAATCGATGCCAAATAAAAAGTGAAAGACAACCAGTTTTCTTCGTTTTGACTGATATGAATAGTAGCACAGGTTGACAGTCAAATTTACCGATAATTGATTACATTCAAGCTGCTGATAAGTTCAAATTCCTTCCCGACCGAGTTACAAATGATGTGCTGAAAAGCTATTCAACCTTTGATATTCTGATGCGAATTATTTGGACAAAAGTTAGGAAGATGTTTCATTTAAAATAGATATTGTTGTTGAGGAAACGGTGCGAGATTTCAATGTAGACGTTGCTGGTTGGTTGAATGAAACACAATTGAAGAGTGGCGGGTATATTCTATGGGTGAGTTGACAATTAGAAACTTAGAAGCTAATATTTATAAATTATGTGGGTAAGCCAACACTATCCAACTCCACTTTTCAATAGTTTTAATTTAGGCAGTGGATGACTTGTCTGATCCAACTTTTGTATCGAATACATACGGACTTTGTGCACCTCCAACCGGTAAAATTGAACTCCTAGTTGCAATAAAGCAGAAGATTCTAGAAGAAAAAGGGCCCAAGAATGAGCTGGGAGCGGGTGTGTGGGTGGCGATCGGTTTGGGTGGATTGTTGATTCTTTTCGATGATTGCACTCATTGTTTTGCTTATTCTATTTTCGACTACAAAGTGAGAATCAACATCAAAACCATTCAAACATTCCCAAACATTGTAGTTTACTTAACCGTCCAGCCTACTTGATGCTCCGCTTTTTGGAGAGACGATTCAAGTTCCGATTCAACTTTCTACTCAAGGCCAGTGTGTCATAAAAAGACATCAACTTTTCTGTTTCAGCTTCATAAAGATCTCGCTGATGAAGGACTTGATCGTTATGTGCAAGAATACAACAAGTACATTTGATTTTAACATTTTTCTTCTTCTTTACTTGTGTTCTTGTTTTATTCTTGTGTTATTCTTGTGTTCTTGTGCATTCTTGTGTTAAACTTTCATTATCTAAATGAAAGCTTTTCTAGAGGAGAAGATGTTTGGGAAATTGATCCAAGAAATCTTCACATCAGCTCCGAAAAAATCGGATCCGGTGCGTATGCTGTTGTGTTTAAAGGTTAATTTGAAAAGAAGTTTAAACTTCAGTACATTTTAGGCATTTTAACGGGAATACCACCAGTTGTGAGATTGATCCCACGGGCACAGGTTTGAATTGCATTTGGTAGAATAGAAAAGTTCAACGAAAACAAATGAGCTGAGTTTTCGCTTTAGTTAATTGGTGGATATGCAAAAGATGAGAATGCGGTGGCTGTGAAGAGACCATACGAACATGCTAATTCGGAAGAAAGGTTTCGATTGGATTGGAGATCTCTTGCATGAAAGATTTCGAGATCTCTTACACATTTCTATTCTCAATCATCTTATCGTACATTTCAGGATCGAATTCCTCCAAGAGATTCGTTTCATGAAAACCCTCGATTTCCATCCGCATGTATTGACAATGTTGGGTTGTTATATTTACCCTCTTCAGCCATTGATTATCACTGAATTATGTGAATTGGGTGATCTTTTGACTCTTGTTCGAGAATTGGGAGATCCGAAAACGGTGCTGTTGTGGAAATCGATCGAATCATTTAAGTTTTAGCAAGAAGAATCTCCAATTGATGCTGATGTTCTTCCGGTGATCGCGTGGCAAATTTGTGATGCTTTGGTGAGGTTTAAAGATTATCATTCATCGAGATGTGGCTGTAAGGAATGTTCTGAATGCTAATGAAAATGAAATATAGATCAAGTACCATGACTTTTAGTCGTATCTTTCAACAAAGAATATCATTCATCGAGATGTGGCTGCAAGAAATGTTCTGATAACAAGTGCTAAAGTGGCAAAGGTTGGCAAAGTCACAAAAGAGCTAACGAGCTTATAAAAGAGCTTTAAAAATGTCTGAACATGGAATTGCTGACGCCTTACAACAAAGTAATTGATTTTGTCATAAATTTAGCTTTCCGATTTTGGTTTATGTCGACATGTGGATGATTTGATGTATAGCTCAAAGAAGACAGCTAAATTACCCTTGAAATGGATGGCGCCTGAATCAATTGAAAAGGCTGAGTATAGCCATAAATCGGATATGTAGGGATCCTGCAATCGAATATTAATCCCTTTTCCTTTCAGGTGGTCATATGGAATTCTTTTGTATGAAATATTTTCTTTTGGTGTCGTTCCATATCCGACAATCGAATCTGAAGCTGTCCTGGAATTTGTGAAGAAAGGAAATCGACCTGAAATACCTGATGAAACACCATCATATATGTGAGCTGGATAAATGAAATCTCCTAGAAAATGAAAGCAGAGAGCCGATGTTGCATCAATGTTGGCAAATGAAACCGGCAGATCGACCGAATGCCGGTGATTTGAAATTCTCTCTTTACACTCAAATAGAGGCCACAATTTCTGGAGATGGATATTTACAAGTGCAGTAAGTTGTTTCGCAAGAGTTATAGGATAGCCAAATTAAAACACCGAACTACTCGGATTATGAAAAGAAACAACAACAAAAAATCAAAATTTTTGTTACGACGAAGTAGCCGGTGATGGAGTGAATGGAGGGACTCGGCTGGCTGAGATTGCAGGCGACGAGCACGAGATTGCAAATGAACCACAAGAACTTTCGTATGATTGAAAAGATTTTGTGACTTTTGTTTGATTTATTTAATCATAATAATATTTGACACTATTTTGTACAAAGGTACAGACAATTCGAGATATAATCTAATGATTTGCATTGAATATTGGTGAATCCAACTGATTCGAGCAAGTGATGAGCTCTCTTTCGACCCCACATCGAACCGAGAGCGAGGGCGTCTGAAAGGGAATATCATTCATAGGCTTAAACCATTGTTCCTTAAATTGTAAACAATTAAAAACAAGTTACCGTATTCTCTCTAATAGTAGTGCACCCCGCCAAGCCGAGTTGATGACTATTTTACGGTTTCCAAATTTTCACAGAAGCTCAACACTCAAATCTCCCACAAGATCTCATCGTCAGCTACATTTTCCGGCCCCAAATCGATATGTTCTGATAAGCGCTTTTCGAGACTTCAAGCAATTTAAACGAAGCTCAGAGTGCACTACTATTAGGGAAAGTACAATAGACATTTAATGCGAACCTGAAGAATTGCTTCCAACGGGCAAACAATGAAACAACGAGGACCCATAATAGAGACACGCTTTCTCTGGATCCCTTTTCTTGTCCTAAAGCGGGTTTATGGCTTAGGCTGTATCAAAAATCCAAAGTTTTACAATTGCTATATCTTGCTTTGCAATATCTAGCTTTGTTATATTTTGATTTCTAATTCTCTTCTGCAGCAAATCCACCCACTTCCATTGTATTGCCCGTTCCATCAATTTCAACCATTGCAAAAATTCCTTCTTTCTTCAAAACTCGATAGATTTCTTGAAGACTCTGAAAGTTAATTTTGAATTTGTAAATTCCTCTAGTTTATTAGGTTGGCCGATAAGTCTTGTCCGTTTTTCAATTCATTTTTCTCCAAAGTCTCATGTTTTTTTGACCGATTGCTCTGAAAACTTGGCTACAAGTAGTAGTCTTGAGGTCTATTAGAAACCAAATTTTCAGAGCGATTGGTCAAAACAACAACCGAGATTTTTGAGAAAAACAAATTGAAAAACGGATAGAACTTATCGGCCATCCTAACAATTTACCTTATCGGGTCTCATTTGATCATGACATGCATCAAAAATCGTAATAAAGTCGAATTTCTCACTCCAATTTTCTGGCAGTGCTTCAGCATTACATTCATGAAACTCCTGAAACTTTTTTTAAGACTTACCGTACTTAAAGTTCTCCAATCTAGCTAGCTATCTAGTCAATATCTAGCTTACAGTGTTAAAGAAATCTCACCGTATTTGTCAAATTCAAGCGTCTTGACTCATTCTTGGCTGTCTCAATTGCACTCGAAGAAATATCGATTCCGGTGAATGTTGAAGATGGAAAGTTTTGAGCTGAAAATACAACAGTATGTCAGTATGTATTTGAACAACAACAGTATTTATTTGAAAGAGATTTGATTTCGGAATCATCCCAATCTTTTCTCTTTACTTACCCATCAAAATCGAGTGAAATCCACTCCCACAACCCACATCCAATGAGAGAAGTCCGGGGGATTTCATTTGATCCTGAAACAGTCATATGCTTAAAAGGATAAACAAAAACGATTAGAATAAAAAGATTTCCTTACAAACTCTCTTTTTACTGAAGCCTCACCACAATTTCCTTTCCGACATCCGGCAATATCCGTGAAATCAAGAATTTCCCATACAAACTTTTTGTGTAAACATCCCGACATCGATAATAATCATCGAAATGGGCATAATCAAGACCTGAATTGATTGAATTCACAACTTTTGCTATATTTTTACCCAAAACTGGCGATACTTCTTTCATCAAATCAGCCAATTGATCAAAAGCCGATGCAAATGCTGTAATGTATTGCATTCGGACAAAAGGAGCACATGGATCATCGATCAAAAACTGAAAAAGAAGATGGATCTGTAGTATTGATGTTTCTATTTTTAATTAATGCCTGTTTTATTGAAAATGTGACTCAAAGTTCGATTTTTGCATGAAATACCTGTCTCTTCTCGTCAGAAATCGAAAATCTCTCTTCCTCATCAACTTCAATCAAATCGGCTGTCGCCAAACAGGAGAGCCATTCTTTCACATAACTCAAATTGTTTTTTAGGAAATCTACTTGTTTAGTAATGTATTGCATCTCTTAGTTTCTTAGTGTTCTTAGTAAAAAATCTGCAGAACATTTCTAAAGTTTAGTCCTCATTCAGACTGCTCACCGTTCTTTACAATGGGCTTTTTCAGCGACTTGTTTTGCTGTTGCGGGATTTGGGGGTGAAGAAACCGCATCAAGAGCCTCAAATTCTCAATTCTTTATTGCTTTTCAATCTTTTATATTTTGCTTTTATGTGTATTAGCTTTTAAGATGCATTTTCAAAAAGTTTACTTTGAAAAGTTGAAGTTTTTCCCCCAAAGCCACCGCCAATGAAACGACTCCGCCTGTACAATAAACCTAGGAAAATGGATAGTTTAAGATAAAATATTTTAGAATACTTGCAATTTGTCCTTGAAATTCATTTCTGACTCAAAAATATGTGAAAGCTTTTCGAGGATTGGAAAACGGGAGGAAATACAAATAATCGATAAGAGGGGAAAAAGGAGGGAAAGGGACACAAAATCGAAAGAAAAGAAAAGAAAAGAAAAAAAGAGAAAAAGATTAACCATTTCTCTCTTCTTCTTCTTTTCTCTCATTTTTTGTGATTTTCATTGAAAGCATTAATGGCAGAAATGTCAATATCAAGGAAGAAATAAAAGATAAAACAATTTATTTCTATCCCAGTTAAAATAGAGAGATTGATAGATAGAAAAGGTACAATAAAGGTGAAACAGAAATCCCAAAAATGGTATCTGAATAGCTGTCGATGTAATTGGTTGTTGATCTGAATGAAGTGTTGTTGCAGAAATCTCTTTGATTGTTGTGTTCAATGTAATCAATGTTGGTTGTGGTGGATGGACAATGTACAATCTTGTCAAGAAACCCGTCACATTTCCTTCATTTTCTTCTTGTTTCCATGAAAACTATATTTAAGCAAAATGATTCCCATTATCCAATCAGACTTCACTCACCAAAACCCCTCGAACACTTTCTACACTGTAATTTTTTGAATAGTCATCACTTTTTGTAAAGTTCAGTCGCTCAAATCGCTCAAATTTTAAAGAACAACAGTTTTTTAAACCCAATTCCTGGGACTTGATTGTTATTTTCATCTGTAAACTGAATTTGCAATTGGCCTCCTCGAATTGAAACCATTTCAATCGTCACATCAATCATCGGTCTTTCTGAAAGTGTACGAGTTGTGAATTCCCTCAGATTCAACCAAGATCTCCACATGAAAGGCGATATTTTAATTGATATTTTGATGACATTTGAATCATTAGATTTCCATAACCTTGTGTGACAACAAAGCTTGAACCAGAGCAAAGTTCGATTTCTCCATCAAGATCTAAAAATTAACTGCTTCAAGCTGACTATATCTTTTAATATACTAATCGTTTAATCCCAGTGACCAACCTATCAGTTCAATCAATGTTGTGTTCACCATAAGATGAAAATGACAATTCTCTGGAGCAAAAAAACTGTAAACATGTTGCTCGAGTGGGTGAGAGATAGCTTCAGTGTTGCCTCTAAATAAAGAATACTTTAGAGAAAATAAATAGGTTAAATAGATCTAAAGAAAGATTACTTCAGAGCTACAATGCTGTTATAGACTCATACTCACCGATATCTTATCAAGAGTCTATCGGAATAGTCCAAATGAAAAGTTGTCGGTGGATGTCCAATGATGAGGTCAAATACACAAGAATCATTTAGCTATAGATTGCTTTTACCTATAAGATCAAATCACAAACTGAATGTAGATTGAAATAAGAGAGATATCGTTGACTCAAAGGTAACATAAACCAAGTTGAATTCGTCGCTCTCATTTCAATATTTGTCATTCCTTCTTGTTCCACATCAACTGATTCGAGGACAAATGTTGTTTTGGCTGAAGTTAAAGCTGGTGTTTTGTTTGGTGTTCAAGCTCAAATCATTCCTACTGGTTCCAATCATTCCAATAAAACTCACGATCAGAATATTCCAAATATCGAAAAGAGATCGAGCTTTTAAATTGATAATAATGAAAGAGATCAAATTTTGGATTGTAATAAAAAGTGAAATAATCTCGACCCAATTCTTTTTCGCACATTTCATGAACTGTTTCATTTGTGAAGTCTTGAAAGCTGAAAGTTCTCAATCGGTACAAATCAATTGATATCAAAATAACTTTGAGTCACATTCTGGTAGATAGACTGTTTGCGGATTTCCATCAATCACATATCCATGATCATTCGCGCAAATCATTGTAAATGGATCAGAAATCTCAATTCGAGTTAGTTATGATGAGCATACTATGTTTATTATGTTAATAGTATTTCAAGAACTTACCAGATCAATTGTGCAAGTTTTTGAGAAATCAACGAGCAATCTACAATACGTTTTCGTTGATGGACATTGGCTTGTGTCCACATGAATGCAAATCACGTTGATTAGTGCTGAATTGAGGGAAATTAGCCTTACAATTAGAAGCCTTCAATTTACTTCAAAAGCAGTTCAATCTAAAACTAGCTTACATGTCAATCCGACAAGAGATTCCGTTTGAAAGACCAATGTATTCAATTTATCGTTCATCCAATATTCTTGAATACACTCAGATTTAATGGAAAATGGGATAAATGAAAAAATCAGTGAATACAGAATCATTGGGTTGAAGAAAAAAGCTTGCAAGTTTCGACAAAATGGTTCTCCTATCATTTCTTTTCCTTTTTTCAATCAACCCAGGCTGAGTTTTTCGATCCGAAACATGCATAATCTCTCCATAATTCTCACTCTTTAACAATACAGCCTTGTAAACTTCGAAACATTTTTCTGATCCAGAATTTCAACATTGTGATTGCAAGAGTTATTAGGTCGACTATTCGACACCAATGTTAAATTTGGAATCAAAATCCTTTCCGTATTGCCTCTTGTGAGTCCAGCTTTTTGTATTGCCACTTTTGGTTATAAGGCATTTAGTTCGTTAATTGAATATCTTTAACTTTAAAGATATTCAGTGTTTGCTCTATTTTAGTGTTTTTTTTTGCCAGAATTCTCTTGCTCTTTTTCATTCATTAAAAGGAAATACACTTCTTGTGAATTGAATAAAACCATTGTTTTCAAGTTGATTAGTCAGATTACACATCAATCTGGGAAGAAGTTTATCGATTGTGACCAGGTATCACCATCAATTAAGGAGAAAGCATCTCCGCCCGGATAAAAGATCGGAGAGGAAACAATCCTCGTGCGGACCAATTTTTATTCAGTATAGATAGCTCGTAAATAAATTCTCTCGGAATGCTCAACTTGAACTACACTTTTAAAATAACGGTCGTTATTTATAAGATTGCTTCTCCTTTCCACTCAAATAAAAACGAAAATGATGAATCAGAACTGCTTTTTTAAGACTTTCAAGAGCATTTTATTTTCCCTTCCATTAAATCAAAATGTTTTTCAAGTTATTGTTGTTCAGTATTTTTCTAAAATCTGTCTTTTCGTTGGAAGGCTCTGTAAATGCGACAGGGAAATTCACATGTAATGGAAAGGGACAAAGAGGAGTACGAGTCGAATTGTATGAGTACGATTGGAAATATTGGGGTCTTCCCTTTTTTAAGTGTGTTTTATCTTTATCGCAGCATATCCAATTCATTAAATCATTTAAAATGAGCTGTTTACGTTTGTTTTCCAGCAAAATTCCCGACAATTTTGTCTCTTGGACTCTGGCGGAGTCGGATGGATCTTTTGTGATATTTGGAGAATATTCAGGAATCGGATCACCCAATTTCTATCTGAGAATCACTCATCAGTGTTATGATAAGCAAAGATTGAAGAAGAAAGGGATTTCTTTGGTAAGTCGAAATGTCAAAATCCCTACTACCAATCCATTCGTAAAGCGTCGTAGGAATTGTGAATGAATTTCGTAATTCACAATTTTAAAAAGTTTCTTTTAGGCCTGCATGTACACTGGAGAAATCTACTTAAAATCTGATCAGAACTCATTTTTTGTGGATTGTGGATCGAATGAATTAAGTACAAAACAATTTTCGAATGCTCATGAGCACTTCAACTGTCGTCCAATCAATTACGGGGACATTTTCTTTCGTTTTGATTCAGTTCCGAATTCTCTTGTAACAATTTCTCTCATAATTTTTGTGCTTATATTTTTCTATAGGGCGTTTCAACTTTTCTTTTGTGACTCACGGGTTTTTCAGAAGTTTTCACAAAAATGTTTTACCAGCGAGGATCCCCCAAAAGTTTTTAAACCACTGATACGTTTTGTAAGGAAAATTCAACAGAAACCTGAGACAGAGAGATAATTTGAAGAATGAGATTTGTGGCCCATCTATTTTTGTTTAAATGTCTATTTTCAATTGCAGTTGATATCTTGATTGAGAATGTTTTTCCAAGATTGAAGTCTTTAACCTTTAACCTTTAGCAAAGTCTTTAACCTTTTTGTTGCTGTGTTGGTAAAAGCTTTATTTTCATTAATAGATCTATTCAGTTGATTTTTGTGTTTACTTCTTCGCTTTAACTTCTTTGCTTTTCTTTGCTTTAGCTTTGCTTCACTTCCCGTCACCCTTTAATCCGCTCAATTCTGTTCAACGATTGCCCTATCGTCTTTTCCGATTTTCTTTTGGAATCTCGTGACTCGGTCTAAATAAGTGAAACAAAATGAAATCTTCTTCGATGTTATTGTTCTTATTTTTTCTATGCCAAACTAGTTTTGAAGAAGAAACCCAAACATTTGAACTATCGGCCCAAAATCCATCTTATGCAATTCATGGTGTTCGATTAAATGAATTTCAGGTCAAATTTTGCTTACCAAATCGATTTTCTTTTTATTTTTACTTTTACATTTTCAATTCAGAAAATAACAATTATTGGCTGTGAAAATTGCTCTTTTCTCATCGATTATTCTCAACGAAAATGTGATAATGAGCCAGATACGGTGAAGAAATTCGATTTGAACTTTACAAAAACCTATCTTGGTTATTTTATTATAGGCATTGAATGATAATGATAGAATTGTTTGCTTGGATCCATTCCCATTTTCGATTAATGGAGAGATTCCCAAAAATGATCATTGTTTTAATATTCTGTGAGTGACTTTGCTCTCAAACGTCAAACACAAAGCCTTTACTTTCCTTTTAGACCATACAGTTCGAAAGCTGAGAACTATTTATTCATCTGTGCTTTTGAAATAAGGAATACAAAGACACTTATAGTAAACTTTGGAGAAAATGAAACTTTTGTGGAGTTTGCTGTTTCATTTCGAGTTCAAGAATGGGTTGATGGTGAGAATTTGCTGAAATTCCGAAATAAAACTATTCCCTTAATGTAATTTGTGAATAATTTCCTTTTAGAATCCGAGAAAACTCTCGTCATTCCAACAGCTCCAGATCTTTACAATGAAAACATTATGTTGGTCAACAAAGGGATCACAGCTGTCCTTGTCGCAAATCCGAAAGCTTATCGATACCGGTGAGTGATTACATATAAGAACCTTTGTTATTCAATTAAACAATCATCAAAAGCGTTTGTACATTTCAGAAATTCTCCAGGCTCAATGATCCTTTTAGAAATCTCGGAAACCTGCGAGCCGTATGAGGTATGGATGAAAAATTCTACAGGGTGCACCATAAGTGTCGTAACAATATAAAGTTCTGATTTTAAGGCAGACAAGAGCAAAAAAGACAAATTTTTAACTGAATAACATTTATTGTCCATTAACAATTATAAATGAACTATCAAATTCGAATCGGCCACCATTAGCACTTGAGCAGACTTGCAGGCGTTTCGGGAAGACGTCAACGGTTGCGACCAAATAGGCTGGATCGAGCTCTTCCCACGCTTTCAACAATGATTTCTTCAAGCTTTCGATGTTTTTGTGGGGCTTTGGACAAGCTTTGGCTACTAGAACCGACCACACTAAAAAATCCATTGAGTTGAGGTCTGGAGAGCTAGGTGGCCACTCAGAAAAAGAAATGAAATCCCGGAAGTTTTTTTGGCAGAACTCTTGAACTTTCTTGGATTTGTGGGCCGGAGTGGAATATAATATTTCTTGCAAGCAATAAGATTGAGCTTATTTTTGAGAATCCGACGCAATAGGTGCTTGAAATCGCCATCTTCTTTGCCATTTGCCTTGCCGACTGGTTTAGCTTCTTCCGAATTCGGTCCCTCACTCACTTGATGTTTGTCTTCGTGACGACAGTTGGGCGTCTATTGCTTCTTGGTGCATCAGTAATTGTTCCCGTAGCTTCGTAGCGTTTAATAGTGCGGAAAATGACACTTCTGTCGATTTTAAGACGCTTATGAATCTCCGGCGCCGAGACTTCTCGCTTGTGCAATTCGATGATCGATTGTCGATGGGGGATTTTTCAACCATTCCGAAAAACACATTTTATATGCAAAAAGGTTCAATTATATTCCAAATATAATCAAAAAAGCCAGAAATAAAGCTTAAATCAACGAGTTATTGTCCTTGAACGCGCGTTTTTGTGACAATTATGGCGCACCACCCTGTATAGAAAAAACAGTTTAGCCTGATATCGATTGTGACAAAAACACGATATTTGCAGTTTTTGCAGGCTCCAGTCCGGGAAGGATAAAAGATGAAAGTCTGCACATGATTGATATTAAGTAAAGTTTATTATACAATATACAAGTTGATCAAATCTTTTACTATTGCAGTAGTTTGATACGTTTATTTTCAGACGAGATAATCTGATCACAACTCAATCAACTGTCACCACCTTGCTTAACAGCGAAAAGTGCTCCTTTTGCATTACCTATCAAGCATACACCGCGGGTTAACTTGAACTTGGAATAGAAATTTTAAAGAAAAACTTTGCAGAATATTACAACGAACCTTTAAGCACGGGATTTGTCCTTACGAGTTATGGATATCCATGGATATTTGATGAAATATCGGAAAGTGCTCAATGTGTCGAGTTTAAGGGAAGTTTTTGTGCAAAGAACATTAATTATCTAAATGTTATAGAGTCAAAATATTATCGCAAATTATCGATATCAAACTGTTGGAGATATAAAAGCATTGGAAGGTGGAACACTTTCGTTGATTGCATATTTACAATCAGAAGATGGAAAAGAATGTCTGAACAATCAATTTCAGCACAATTACAGGTTAATAAAGGAAATTTTTGTGCAAATCGATTTCTTTCAGTTATACAGAAGTTCCGGCTACAAAGTTTGAAGTTCAAGCATTTTGTTTGGTGGTTGGTTGAAGTTTCTGAGGCCATAAGCAATCGTATCCCAACCATACACCCTTTTAGGCAATTTGGTGTCCAAATGAGAATATTACTGAAAGAAGTGGCTTTGTGATGACACTTTTCCCATCGAATAACACGATCGATCCCAAGATTCTTCCCTGTATCGATGGTTTAATCACTCTACAAAAAGATCAACCAATGATCATTTTGCAAGGACTTAATTTATATGAAGCTAAAGGTTGTGATAGTTTGTCATATTTCTTTATTTACACTTTAGGTGGATATCGATCGATCTGCTTAAACACAATTTGTTCTCAACAAAAATGTTCATTGATCATTGATGTTTCGATGTATTGTCAATATGAAACGGTGAGGCAAATGAACATACAGGGTCCGAGAAAAGTATTGTCGCGTCTCTTTGAACTAACTTTTATGCGATTTAAAAGTATCCTTTTGCGTTGTGTAAAACATGAATTTTGTCCGGTTTTTTTTTCCGCTTTCGAATGGTGCATAGCATTCAATGTGTATTTTAGAAATGCAAGCTTGCCCTCATCGAGAAGCGATCGCCGTGCTTTTGAAAGCTGGAGAGTCGAAGGTCGAAAGCCATCTCGCGAAAGCTCAAAACCAACATCAGAACTGCTCAACGGCTTGCCAAACAATTGCAAGAGAAAGGAAACATCAAGGAGAAGCCGAAAAAAAGAAGACCTCGATCGGTGAACACGCCAAACATTCGGAAGCTCGTCAAACAGCGAATTGATCGAAACGACGAGCGAAGCTTAGGAAAAATGGCCAAGGAGCTGAAAATCTCGGATTGGTCGGTTCGGAACATTGTGAAAAAGGAGCTGGGACTTCGTAGTTATCGTCTGCGACAAGGTCAGTTTCTTACCGATGATGCGAAATTCAATCGAGTTCAAAAAGCCAAGCGACTCCTTTGTTTTTTAAGACGGCACGCATCGAGGACGTCTTGTGGTCAGATGAGAAAATTTTTACCATCGAAGTAGCCCACAATTCCCAAAAACATCGTCAACTGATGTCACCGGTCCAGAAGAACACTTTGAAGCGGAAAATCCAGACACAGGGTCTTTTTCCGAAAGGATTGATGGTTTGGGGAGGAGTGACTGCGGATTCGAAGACTCAGCTTGTTTTCATCGACAAGAGTGTCAAAATCAATGCCCAGGTTTATCAAGCTCAGATCCTCAAGAATGCTGTGATTCCCTGGAGTCGAAAAAACCCTAACATGACCTTCCAGCAGGACTGGGCCCCGGCCCATGGAGTGAAAACCACAATGGACCTGATTCGGCGCGAATTGCCCTCTCATTTCACCAAAGGAAGACTGGTCCAGCAACTCGCCGGACCTCAACCCTTTGGATTTTTCAGTATGGGGCTTCTTAGAGGAACGTTTGAGGCATAAGAAAATCACAAATCTTGGTGAGCTCGAGGGGGAATTGATCGCTGTCTGGCACGATATTGATACCAACTACCTCCGTGCCACCGTCGGCTCAGTGATCCCGCGTCTGAAAGCCTGTATCAAAGCCAGGGGATCCAATTTCCAACACTTGTTATAAATTTGAATTTTTGGTTATTTATCTGTTATTTTTTTCAATAAATATGTTAAAAGCTCAATTTTGAAAAAAGATATGATGGTTGGAAAAACGAGAATACTTTTCTCTGTAGAGATGATTCAAGAACAAGAACAAGAAATTCTTTTGATTTCTTAAATACCCGGCCCATTTCCAAAAATCCAGAATCTATTTCAGAACTCAACTACTCCCGGATGCTCTCAAATCTCACCGTTTGAATTGAATGGAGATTTCCCGAAGCTCAACAATTGCACTCAAAGAAATATTTCTGGAACTGGGACTGTACTCCAAAAATGTCAACTCAGAATTGAGACTGTAGAGCTGTACATCAGAACGATTATTGAAGGTTTTGATCCTTCTTTTTTGAGAAGTTCAATTGCTGTCAGATTGGAAGAAGAGATTGATGGTGTGTAGATGGCATTGTTCTTTCCATTTAGATACATACAAGAAGTGCATACAATTCTTAAATAGCTTCAGATACATATGATTTTCAACTGGAGACTTTGAATACTGTTACTTCTCAATTGCCTTTTCAATGGGCTTTTCAATTCGAAGCATCAATAAAACCGACTTGGCTCTCACTTTCCCTTCCACAAGGACAGCTAAAAATTCTGGAAAAGTTTCGATCGGTAATGATGCAAAGAAGCACACAATCACTATTGGTTTAGGATCGAAGTGTGGAGAATTGTGAATACATTGTTCTCACTGGCCCACCACTCAGCGTTATTGGCAAAAAACGGGAGCTATTAACAACTTTCAAGTAGTGTTTTCTATGATTTACCAAACTTTCTCATTTAGAGACAGTGAACACTTTGTGCCTCAACTTCTCGAATCTGATCTTTACAGTATTTTGATCCCACCAAAATGCTCTCCATCAATTTATCTCTCTTATAGCCCACCCACTAAATGTATCTCATATTTATTTCAAGATTTCATTTTTTTAGCTTACGATTTTGATCAATATCAAGATCATTGTGATGGGACAATCTTTTTGGAATCACGAGGTTTCGGGAATGATTTCGAGATTCCATTATTACCAATCGATGATAATGACATATCGTATTACTATTTCTGGAGGCAAATATATTGTGGTGAATATTTGATGATTAGTTTATCTTTTCTCTATTTTTCTCTATCATTTAGAAGATTTCCCTGTTGATCTCACCATTGAAATTCTTTCTATTACAAATGGAAATGTTTCAATTCAATTTTTTGATGACATTGAAAGGAAACATTTGGTTGAATGGTTGGGAAATGGCTAAAATTTGATCTACAACATACATTTCAGTCTTTCATTTGATGTACAAGCTAACAATAAGACACTATTGTATCGATACTCAAATTTGAGAGGGATCACGGTAAGTGATTTGGGTCTCGTGAACACATCTTCTTTGGCACACTCCCCAAAAAGAGGTTTCAATGTGTCAGATTGGTTGCGCTTAAGAGCACAAAGTACATTCCATGAACTACTCTAAATTCATATCAAAGTTTCAAGAATTGCCCAATCAATTCACTCAATCGAAATTTCTCTTTCAGATATCGTGGAATATAACGGGTACCCTTTTCAAGTCCGAAGGTTTTCTCATTCGTGTTCATTCATCCCGTACTCCCAACTCTTCACCAATCATTTCAACTTCTAGCGGATATGAAATTCAGTCAACTACATCAAATCAAAGTACTACACGAAAAGAAATTCTTTTTATGTATGCTTTAGCTTTTCTGTTAAGCATAAGTTAAGCTTTCTATCATTGTATAAAGATTCTTTATTCTCACCCTAGCGTAGTTAAAAAGTTTATGTTTTGGGCATCAAAATCGTCCACATTTTCTGTTATTCATTCCGTACTTTTTGTCCATTAAATGCGAAAAATTGGCCATTGCATTTTCTCTGAAGAAAAGAATTTAGGGTTGATTTTATTTTTTGGCAAATTTCTCTAAAACTCACGTTAACGGTTTTTGATGTAATGTGACAAGATTATCGTAAGCGGAAGCCGTTCTTTTCACTCCTGGATGAACGTTGAATACGTGAGTTGGAACAAGGAAATGATAACCCGAACGACAGAGTTCGTAAATCTGAACAAAGCTGAATTCGAGGAATATTTAATGAATCCTTTACACAATATTGCATATCTCGTTGTCTTGTTGGAGCTCTCTCATAACATAAAGGAGCATTTCGATGAAGGATTGGTTGAGGTTCCCAAGCTGATCCACTGAATATTTACAATCTTCTGTTGCTTTCGCCTTTTGGTATTGTCCAAATAAACAATAAGCATAGCTAGTAGCTTCTGCCAACTTGATCCCCTCAACTTCATCAAACCCACCGATATCTTTGTTCATCAACAGTCAAATGGTCACTTCTAATCGATTTTTCTATCCATTTACTTTGTCGATCAATTCGATGTCCCGATGAAAATATCAATTGATGAAAGAAATACATTCTATAATATTTATATAACTACAGGGTGGTCCAAAATTATAGCAACTCGACATTTTCTGTCTAACTCGGCAACCCAGTCATCCATTCTCTTTTCGATGTTTTTAAATTGAAATTAACATGATTTCCTACGACAGAAACGTTGCTTTTGGTTGGAAACGTTTTTGTTAATTTTATACGATACTTTAAAGATTTTTGGCATTTGATCGATTGCCTTTTCTTCTATTTCAAAACGACTAAAATTGAATCAGATTTACTTCACTAACCGCCCAGCGACTCTGCCATTTTCGCTAGTTTTCCAGTGTGCGATTACAGGTTTCCTTTTTAAGCTGAACAAAAGTTTTTTCATTCATTTAATTTATTTCCAATGAAAATTAAGCCCGGACTGCTTATCATGTTTGAATCCAATTTTAGCACTACATTAAAATGCTGTTTTTCAGCTGAGTTTTCATCAGTCGTATTTTTTTGGCAATAAAGCAACAAGACAACCTTTTACAAAAGGAAAAATGTAAAACTGTTTTAAAAGGTTAAAAAGATAGAAGGGAATTAGCTTTGCAAAATTTAGCAAGAAAAACGGTCAGTTCTTGTCATAAACGCTGGGTCGCCAGACGATGACTGCTTGAGCTTCTATGAAAAGAAAACAGAAACATTTTTAGTCAAAACCAAAGTTTCTGTTGTTGTAGATAGTGTCAGTTAGACTTGTGTTTCGGTTGGCTCTTTTCGGTTCAGTTTCGGTTTCGGTTCAACCGAAGTCAACCGAAATCTTCGGTTCGGTTCGGTTCGGTTGAACCGAAAAGATGAGTCTTTCGGCTCGGTTCGGTTCGGTTGAACCGAAAAGATGAGTTTTTCGGTTCGGTTCAGTTTCGGTTCAACCGAAAACTGAGTTTGTCGGTTCGGTTCGGTTTCGGTTGACTCAAATTTTTAGCGATTGTAATTTGAAATATCATATTTGACAATGAAATATCATATTTGAAAAAAGATCGTCACTTTCGCGCGTCTGTATCTCCCTTGTCTTTGAGTTTAAACTATTAGTGTTATACATTTTCTGAAAGCTCTTTTCATGGGCTACACAGTGGCATATATTAATATTTAGAAATACGGTAAAGACAAAGGAGTTACAGACGCGCGAAAGTGATGATCTTTTTTTCAAATATCATATTTCATTGTCCAGCAGTTTAAGTTTGAACAGTTTATACCTATGGCAAAACAAATGAAAGCAAACAAACAAAATGGTGCAAGTAAAGACAGAAAAAGTGAAGAATGTTTTTTTTGAAAAACAATTGCGCAATTGCAAAAAAAAATTGAGGAAATATAAAACGAACTTTGTTGCAAAATGCTTTTTATCTATTTACTGTCAAGTTATTCAGCCTAACCAACTGAATATTCATGCAAAAATAAAAAAAAACAGAGTTTGGCGTCATTCGCATAAATTTATTGCGTTTTGCATTGGTTCACTTTATCGCACGTTATCGAATTTCGGTTCGGTTCGGTTCGGTTCAACCGAAAAGATGATTTTTTCGGTTCGGTTCGGTTTCGGTTCAACCGAAAAATATTTTTTTTCGGTTCGGTTCGGTTAACCGAAACCGAAACCGAAACCGAACCGAAAAAGAACGTTTCCGGTTCAACCGAAACACAAGTCTAGTGTCAGTTTAATGTTTAAAAAACATGCTAAGAGAAACAAAGGGCGGACTGTCGAGCTACATCAAGAAAAGCCGAGTTGCTATCGTTTTAGATCACCCTGTATTTCTTGCTAGACTATGGTTAAAATAAATTCACTTTTTCTTATTTAAAAGTTTCTTCAGTTCGATCACATTTTTCGGCATTTGATCGATCGCCTTTTCTTCTATTTCAAAACGACTAAAATTAAATCAGATTTACTTCTCACCGCTCAAACTTTTCTGGTGCACTAACCGAATGATAATTGCATTCTTTTGCTCATTCTTCAAATATTTATGAACAACTGGTCGCAGTTTTTCTTCGAAATCCTCTGAGTAATACATTTCCACATCGCTAACTAAATAAAATAATGTTATCTGAACATTTACAACATTGACATTGACTCACTCAAAGAATAATCAGTGGCAGCTCCAATTCTTGCCACATTTCTCATTACATTTATTGGATAAATACCAAAAGGTGGAAGGTATTTATTGAAAAGTATTATAGCTGAAGACTCTTCATTTTCATCTTTATCAACTTCACTTACGATCAAACGTTGAGCAATCTACTTCCAAGTTCTCAGCAATAGGTAATATTGGGCAGGAATCATGAAGGGATTTTGGATAGACAACGTGAATGGAGACCTAGAGTTTGTTAAATTGATCATTGTGATAATATATATATTGATTTCTTGATACTTACCCATTTCCTGAAATCTTTATTACATTTTTGTGCCTTTTGTATATCTTGGAGGGCTTCTTTTGAATCACTTGCCAACAAAAGACTCAAAGAAATTGGCGCTTTCCAAACAGATATCTAGAAAGATCATTAAAAATATCAGCAAATACATATTGAACTTTTTCAAGAGCTTCTCCACAAACCTGAGTAACGGCAAGAGTCAAAAAATTTGGGGTCGAATGAGTGGCCAATGAGATCATTTCGATGTTTTGGGGAGTGTTTCTAATTGGATTTTATCATATAAAATACTCTCCCAAAAAAGAGTACGCTATCTCAGCAACAGTGTAATTATATTGAACACAATATCCATTCCTTGTTTCGGGTTGGGAAGCAGAAGATAAAGTTCGTGATTTTAGCGTTTCTATACTCATTGTAAGTCCCAAACTTGCAGTTAAGAAGAACTGGAAAGGAATTGAGTTGAAAAAGAAAAGAGTTTAAGCTACTGCCAGTTTATCATTAACTTTCAAAATCTCTTAAAATCTGGCCTCGAAAATTGTGATTCCAATCCCGCCAACAACGATGAAAGCAAGTGCAAATGCGAGTGTTGGGCCCATCCCATCCATAAGTTCATCTAATGAGATTTTGGCCTTTAAGAAGTGTTAGATTGAGTTTCTTTCGCAGCTCATTGACTTTATTCACTGGATTTAGATGCTCCTTTTGTATTTAATCCGTTCAAATACTCTATCAAATCCCCGTTTCGTCTCCAAGTAACCTTCTTTTCTTTTTCCATTTAAGGAGGGGAAATTTATGTAAATTAACACTTTAGAAAACATTTGCTCAAGTTTCAAACAGAGTTCAGATGTAAACCCATACAATCTCTACTATATCTACTAAATGTCGTTGTGCCTTTTAAAAAAAAGTCAAAGTAGGGCCACTTGGCGGGAGTCGAACCCGGATCGCGTGAGGCGAGAGCACTATCCACTGCGCCATAGGTGCCAATTTGTATTTTACGCTGAAATTTGAGTGGTGGGGTATTCCAACACAGGGAATTCGTTTCTGGCAATCATTTTTACGATTTCTGGAAATTCCTGGAGGCTGTTCTGCTGGTACTTCGTAAAAAACTTACCAACGGACAGTTGATCAATAGCCGATCAATATAGGATCAATAACCGTACCGTAACAGTACGGACAACAGACAAAATACCGTGAAAATCAATATAAATTGTGCATCTTTTATATTAAAGTTGTCTCAAACTATTGAATGCTTGAAGGAAAAAGTTCTTTTTCATCAATCATATGATTAATTCTTTTCATGACAGAAAAAGAAAGTGATTTAAAAGAATAATATCGTTTTGTGAGTTAAAAAGAAACATTTGACAGGGCAAACTATTTAAACATAATTTATTTGATGTATCTCTTGTTGTTGACTTGGTATCTCTTCTGGACTTAGGATTGGCAGATCATCAAGAGTCCTTCCGATTGTTGTCTGTTCATCACTTCTCATTGGCTTTCTCCTCTTTCTTCTTTTCTCACTAGAATACACAATACTCACATTTGATTTATTTGCTTTTTAACACTATGGGACTTACCATCTTGACACTAGATTTATCAATATGATAAGCATAGCAATTCCAATACAAACACCAACCAAACAACTGATCATTACTGGAAACTAATTAATATAAAGGCTGAGAATTCATTTTTGTATTCAAAAATGTTTCTGAAAACTTGTAGGATTTCCATAATAAAGATTCCATAATTCCATAATAAAGAATAATCAAAGTCCAACCAATTGTAAAACTGTCATCAATTTGATCATCATCATCAAGTTGACATGGATGTCTAGATGATGTCTAGAAAAGAAATTGAAATCTAGAAATTCTGAGTGACTCAAATAGAAAAAAACTGCTGATGTTAACAAAAAATGTTTACAAATCAAAATCGTACCGAATTTTCCATCTGAAGAACATTAGAAAGGAAATCATTTTTGCAGGGTGACTGAATGAATAAATTGACAAATGACAAATGACAAATAAATTGACAAATGTTACGAAGGAACGTTGTTTACGATTATTAACTTTTTGGTGGCCATATGTTTAAGATTATTACCTCTTTGCTCCAAAAAGTTCCGTAAACCTTCGGAAATAGACCGATGGTAAACAAGAAGAAGGAAATCAGGCTATTTTTCCTCAAAAATTGATCAATATCAAAGCAGACCATGAGAAATAATATTTTAAAAACGTCGAATTTCCAGACAGCTCTGATGAAGAATTCTCTAATTGGAGTCACCCATTCAATGTGAGCACAATTCAACCGTTTTTTTCATCCTAATTAGCTTCTTGTTCCTCAAATTTCCTATGCGGTGGCTTTGTGCTTTCAGAACAAAGCGAGAAATTGAATTTCACGCGTTAAACTGAATGTTTGACCTAAAGTAAGAGTTTGAATGGTGCTTGATCACTTCAACTTCTCTCAGACAGTTCTAATATGCAATCTATTGATCAGATAAAGTGAGCCGTTGATCCATATGGTTTATTTGGACATCAGTGCTTGAAAATTGAAGAGCTTGATGAACTTGGTAAGTAGAACTTGACTCTTCATCGCTTTCTTATTTGGTTTAAGTTCTTTGAAGGCCACTGTGGTGAACAAGACCCTCAAATGTGAATGTTATGCTATTTTCATCGATTTGTGATCGGAAAAGACTACAGCTTGCCTATTCTAGTTTGCCAATAGCATTTCCTTAATCTTTCAATATATTCTTTATACTCTATACCAGCGGAAAACACTCACTAACGTTCGCGTTTTTCACGCAATCTAAGCCCCGTCCCTTTTTGCCGTAATTATGGAGCGTCGCGTTTGCGCACAGATAAACGGACGTCTCTTCTGCTTTATATATATCGTAGATAGTCTTATCAGATTTCTTTCACTTCATTCCCATCCACCACCGCATCCATTTCTCGATTTCTCGATTTCCTTTCTTTTCCTCACTCCATTCATCTCTTTCATTCCCCCGTCAATTGTATTTTCTCGTCCATTCTCTTGAGGTCACACATCTATTATTGACAATATTACTACAAATTTCTCGTAGACTTTCGAAATCAATATTTTTCTGATTGATAATTAACTATTCAATGTCAAATTGGATTCGGAAACGCCCCGTCAATTTTGTGAGCTCTTCATTCAACTTTGTAAAAGTTATAAATACATTTGCGATAATGGGGCCCACCGGTGGGCCCGGCTTGAAATTGCCATAATTTATGGGCAGAGTAAGCTGAAAATTTGTATACTAGGGTTTTCGGGGGTGGGGAATCTGAATTCGGTATTAGGTTTTGGCTACACTAACCCCAGGTACTCGAAATAGGAGTGCACGTTTCGACCAGCTTGAGGAGTCCTCAACTTCGACATTAAAGGAACCTTTTTCCTACTTGACCTTTGATTGACCATTGACTTGACTTCCTACTTGACTTTTGATGCTCTTGGTGTCAAAAGATGCCCGAACATTTCTTCTAATAAAAAGTGAAGGGTCAGTTGTCAGAAATGAACAACTGACATGCACGTGTTTATGCGAAACGATGAAAATTCTCATGTTGATCTAATCACAGCTTCTGGAACATAGCCTTTGAGTAACAAAGTTCGTTCTCTCTCGTTTTTAATTACCCAAGTTTTTGACTGACTTGACAGTGACCATGGGAGGTTCGAAATCGAATTAGGGACGGATTTAGATTTCCTAACCTCGAAAACCTCTAAAGTACAAATTTTCGTGTAATCCGGCCGTGCCGGTCTCTGAGACCACAATACCAATGACATTGTCGCGAATGCGTTAAAAACAAATAAAGTTGTGAACTTGTTTTTAATAGCCCAGTAGAAATAAACAAGTTAAAACCAAAGACTCCAGGAAGAATGTTTCCATCGCCGAAAACAATTGAGACTCGAGAATGTCGATGAAATCTGTCTGCACGAGCTCATCTCTGCTGTAAGTTTAATTCGAAAATTTTGTGTTTTAAAACCATTTTGATAGCTTTATTATTGTTTTATTTGACTCCTTCAGATCAGAAACAAAAAATTGCTTTTCAGAATCGACGTCTCCAAGTGAAAGAAGGTTTATCAACAAATGGGAAGAGTACACACGTTTTTGTCAAATCAAAGGAGGATTGCTTGAGTCAAAATGATAAAGTAATAGATAGCATAATGGCAATAGTAAAAGGAAAACATAAATTCGAGGCAACAAGCCATAGTAATACCCAAAATTCCAGCTAATCACGATGCGATTGCCTGTGAAAGAGAACTTGTACAAGCTTCACCCAAATGCTTCTTCAGCGTCAGAGACAGGTTTGCTTGCATTTTGGAAATAAAATCACAAATCATTACTTTTTTTATTTATTAAAAAGTTCCCATCAAATATTTATCTTAAAAAATATCAAAATAACATATTTCGTGTTTCGAAAATAACAAAATGACAAAACAACGAAAAGTCTTCGTTCCGCAGTTCAGAGGAGTGACGGAAAGTTGTCCCGAAAATCCTAAAAAACTCAGAACATTTAAGTATTCCGCTAGAGACTAAAATATCTAAACTAGCATAAGATCCTTTAGTTATTTCCCCAAACCTTACCTCAATGGCCTTTGTGAAATCAGAAGTTTTCTCAAGAATTTCGTCAAAATCGAGCTGAAGTCGAACATATTGACGTTTGATTGACGGAGAAGTTGAAGCCTAGAAAAGGATTGAAATAGGAAAACAATTGGTTTTGTTTTAACTAGAGAATCATTCAAATCATTGAAGCATTCGAAAGTCCTTGACTTACAAAGTTAGCGATCTTGGACAAGTTTTGTTGCACAACATCAACGGTTTTCTCGAATTGGACCGAATCGGGAGCAGCCTCTGCATCGTATTGAGCGAAATATTGGAGATAGACAACAGCATTCAAGGAAGCATGCACATTGTCACATTCAAGATCATTCTTTTGGATATTTGATGGAAATGAGGAGAGGAGAGACTGCAAATTGTGGGAATTCATTAAGAATTAAAATTATTTGATTTATAGCTTGTGATGGTTCTTTTAGAATTGAAACTAACCTCGACTTTCTCACAAAATTGAATACATCGATTCAAAATCGAATTGTAGCTGTTTCTTGTCTTCACGAGCACTTCACGCACTTCTCGATCAGCTTTTGCCTGCAGAGATTGAATATAATTGAATATTTAAACATGTAAAGATAAGAATTCAATATACATGCTATAGATAGATAAAACCCAACCGATTCATACAAAAAGATGCAATCATTGACCAGTTGCTCTTGTTTTTCCTCGTATAATTTCAGGCTTGACTCACTCATAGATTCACCGATTTGTGTGTAGGTTGAAAGGAGGGAAATCTGAAAAGTTATTTGTTTTGATGAAATATCAGTAAGTTAAAGTATTAGTAATATTAGTAAGTAAGTAAAATTAATTAAAGCTAAATGATCGAATTTCTTGAGAAAAAGCAAAACAAATCAATACGAACCGCTTCAATCGCAAATTCCGAAGAGGAATCCAATGGAATCTCAATCATTGTTGAAAAGTTGGAGTGAGAAATACTCGCTGAAATATTGAAAGGGAATCTTAAGGAAATTTAGGGTGATAATTTATTGTATAATTGTTCCAAATTTTGATCTGTTCAATTGCCCTTTGGCTATTCAGAAAGAGAATTTCCTCTGGCAGATGTACAAACAATGGATCGTTTCATGAACAAGTATTGAATGCAATGAAAAACTTATCTAATTCGAAACTTTGAACTTTAATATAAAATACTTTAATATATTTGAAGTAATATAAAGAAGTCAATTATCGAATAGCTAACCTTGACAATATTTTTAGTTGACGATGAAGAACTGGAAGATCTACAGACGGAGATTCTTTTTGGCGGTGATTATGAAGAAGCAAGTGGATCCGAGGATTTCACCCATATTGAAAAGGTAACACTGCAAAAATAAGCCTATCAAGCATGATTTTCAGTTCTCGAACCTTGTACTGCAAGATTCTGTGAAAGTGACGCAAGACGAGGATGAAACAGTACTGAAGAACTTCTTTGTGCAAGGATTGGGATCACTTCCAGCTGAAGCTGTTTCCATCAATCAACCAATCCAAATCAATCAGATCATCACAAGGCTTTTCAAGATCCAATTTGAATTTAGCTTGATTCATGAATGAAAGCCTCAATGTAGATTTTCATGTCTCAATTTAAGTTGTTAAAGCTTTAGAATTATGAAGAATTAGAAAGGATAGAGGAAAAGCTTTAAAGCTTTGAAAGTATTAGGGTTAGTGGAATGAAACCAGCGCTCACATATCTTTCCAAAAATAAAAAGATTGCAAGCCTCAGCCAATCAGTCTTGCATACAATTAGAAAGCCCTGAATCTCCTCTATATTCAAATCACCCTAATATTTTGGAGTATGCAAAACTCTATGCAAAAACACTCTTCCTGATGCATACTTGTCAGAGTTGTCAGATTTCATTTCACTACTATAAACATAAAGAAGAATTGAGTATGCTAGAAAAGCTTTGTTTCCATTTGAGACTTAAATCCCTCTGGATTATCAGAGATCCAGTGCATTGTGGTGTAATGGTTAGCAAAGCTGCCTGGTAAGTGAAAGGTCGCGGGGTTGAGTTCCGGCGCACCAGCTTTTGATCTGCCCTAGTTCCAACTTGAGCACAAAATCCATTACAAAAAGCTTGTTTCTTATAGATGCTAGTTTCAGTTTTATAACATTTATTATGGTTTAAATTTTAAAAACCTTTGTTAAGCAATTGGCTGTTTCACTTTGTAATTCTTTCAACGAGCTTCATCTCCATCGTTTTCCATTGCCACGCAAGCTTTTTATGTATCGATGAAGCTTTTATGTATTTTTATGTATCGATGAAATTTCTAGGTGTTCTTTTTCGAATTGCCTTCTTTTTCTATTGCTTATCAATCGTGCCACCGCAAAATTCTTTTCACTTCAAGTTTGTAGCCCAGAGAATGTTGATTTGTTCTTCTTAAAAACGGGTAATAAAAGTTTTCAGCATTTTGTTAATACAAAACAGAAAAGTTTTACGTAGTGTTGTCTGTGTGTAATATTTTCTGATGTTTTTAAACTATTTATTAGCGGGAATCATTACAGCTATACTTGATTCAATCACTCAAACAAAATTTTTAGTTAAAATGGTAAAAGCGTATTTTATGCGAGATCCTGTTGAGAATCAACGAGATTCGTGTGAATTAGATTTACCAAAAGAAGCCAATGAAGAAGATTTGAGAAGGATTGCTGTTTGGACACAAAAGGTAGGGCAAAAGTTTTTATTTTACAGTGTCTTTAAACGCGTTTAAGTTTGTATCTTACAGCTTTTAATGTACTTTTAAATTCTAGATACCGATCATTGATGGATGGGAAACTAAATTGGATGAGGAGGCAAAAAAGGTCGGCTTGAATTTCCGCGATGAAATCTTCGTGAACAAGGAAAAAATGCCGAATTATGAGGAAAAGGTTGGGAAGAAGTTCTTGAGAAGTTCGGAAGGGCAAACCTAAGCTGAAGATCATTTGTAGATAAAGATTTTCTTCGAAGAACATCTCCATTTGGATCCCGAGGTTCGATTTGTAAAGGATGGATCTGGATACTTTGATGTCAGGGATAAAGAGGTTCAAATTGAAAGATCGAATCCTAAAATCGAATTAGAAATCCTATTGTCTGTTTTGATATTTACATTCGATTCTCTTCAATTTAATTCTCATCTTCAGGATAAATGGATTCGATTGGCGGTGTCGGCCGGTGATTTCATCTTTCTCCCGGCTGGAATCTATCATCGATTCACCGTTGATCACAATGTAAGTCTAGATTCCTTGATTTGTTCTTCCAGTGCACAAAGTACATTCAGCAAATGAGACATGAAGAAGGAGTTCCTAGATAACTTTTCAGGATTTCATCAATGCAATTCGTTTGTTCAAAGATGAGCCCAAATGGGAAGCATTCAACCGATCCGATCAAGCTGATGAGAAACCAATTAGAGCGCAATATTTACAGGAAATCTCTACTTAAAAGTAACCCAGGTTAAATTAAACAAAATTTGTACATTTTTGCTTCAAATTACTTTTTTTTAATCTGAACGCTCAAGTGATTTTGATACTTTGGACGTTTCTTAAATTTTTCAAATTCTTGTTAGCATTTCTGTGATTTGTCGGTTATTGTCTGCAGATTTCTTTTCTCTATTTGATTTGTGATTTCCATTCAAACTTTTAAAAATTCGTTTATTCAAGTGAAAAGGCTGTGTTGAAATGCAAAATTTGAATTGATTGGATAATGAGGTAGTCAAGAATAGGAAATAACAAAAGGCATTAAGAGATTCAATCTGAAAAGTCTATATTGCTTCACGACTTAGGAAAACAAAGATTTCTCCAAATATCTTTGAAAACAATGAAAGTAAAGAACAGGGCTGGACCAAAAAAGTCAGAAAGCCAAGCTCCGCTCACTTTTCTTGGCTCTTGACTTGGGTTGGCCTGGATTTTGGGACCATTTTAAACAAACTCATGACCATATGAAAAAGTGCAAAATTTGGAGACTTGGCTTTGCTTGGCTTGGCTTAGTCAAAAAAAGTCAAAAAAGGAACTTTAAACTTGGATCACACACATTTGAATGAAATAAAGAACGGTAGTGATTTGAAATTGTAAAAGAGTTGCCCAGAAAATGTAGAGGAATTTGAATTGGCTCTGGAAATGATTTACGTCGATAGTCTGCTTTAGTCGATAGTCGATCGTCGATTAAGAGTCTGCTTTAAGACTTGGGAAGCTAATTGTAAGCCTAATTAACCGGCGAACGGCTAAAGGTGATCCTCCTTCTAGGATGAGAAACGTTTAGAGAAGAATAATTATAAAAATGATGAGAGGAATTTTTTTCTTGAACTTTCTGAATAGAGCTGATCAAAGCTAGAAGCAATCATAATAATCGACCGATGAATTCACAGTTTTCTGCCTCAATCTCCTCTTTGCCTCACTTTCTTGAGCGATCTTTCGTCTAGGCTCCGATCTATTCTTTCTCTTTTCATAATCTTTTACCAATCGTCGATCGTGTTTGAACTCTTGTTCATTCCTCCATGTATTCATCGAGTCATCACATCTTTTCCATTTCACCAAATAATATTTCCCATCTTCTCTCATTTCATCATCCAGAATCTTCTCCATTTCTCGCCTACCCGATCCTTTTAGGCATTTCTTGTATTCCTCAAGGATTTCCTTTGCATTTTCAAAGCGATCTTCATTTTCCCATGTCGATTGCTTTTTGGCATATCCCAACCATTTCACCAGGTAATATCTTCCGTCTTTTCCTATTTTATCATCAAGAATCTTTTCCACTTCATATTCTCTTTCTTCATCAGATTCACTTGAGGATAATGAGCGGGCGGCAAAGGGCTTCTTCTTCAGAAATGAGCGCATTTACCTGAAATAAAACTTTGATTACTGTGATTTTTTTAGTCTTTTGCCTCATTAAAGTACACGAATTATATGAATTTGAATATGAATTTCAAGAACATATTTTGCGGGAAACTAAATGTCTAAATATTCAGAAACTTCAAGTGAAGTGGAACTATTGGGTTGGCCGATAAGTAATAAGTCAATTTCAAAAAGAAATATTGATTCAATAAAACAATCTAAATCAATCAAAATAGTTTCCATCTTTTTCAATAGACTGTGCTCATTTTACTGGTAGAAGGCGAATTCCTCTCGCGTAAAAAATCTTTGCTTTTGAGTCGAACAATTAGGTTGATGCATATGAAACTTCCGCCACACTTGTTTGTTTATATTTTGGACCTAATAAAAGTTTTTATTGAATATATTTGTCTAGCTGAAAGAGCGTGTCTTTGCGCGTCTTTTGATATCTAAGACTCATGCGTTTTACTTAATTTGAAGTAATTTTTAGCTTCTAGAAAATAGTTGACCAAAAATTTCGAGTGCGGGTTTGCTTGTCGTATGATTTTAAACAAGGCAGAACGGCTGTGGAATCTCATCGTGCTCTGTGCAAAGCATTCGGCGATGATGTGTTGTCCGAACGTCAATGTCGGACTTGGTTTCAGCGGTGATGAAAGTTTGGAAGACGAAAAACGCGGGAATCCGCCTCAAATTGTCGACAACGATGAGCTGAAGGACGCTATCGAATCGGATCCATATCAAATAACTCGGGAGTTTGCAGAGCTGTTTGACTGCGACCATACAACCATTCTCCGCCATTTGCACGCAATTGGTAAGACGAATCGGTGTGGAAAATGAGTGCCACATCAGCTCTGCGATGCAAACAAGGCGGCTCGAGTTACAATAGCTGGAGTTCTCGTCCGCCGCGCAAAGATCGCCGGTTTTCTCGACTCCATTGTTACGTCAGATGAAAAGTGGATATTTTACGACAACAAAACGAGAAAACGGCAGTGGTTGGACGCCGGTGAACCGCCAAAACCGAATATCCACGGAAAAAAGGTGATGCTTTGTATTTGGTGGAACAGTAAAGGTCTCGTGTATTTTGAGGTGCTGGATTCGGGCCAAAGAGTCACGGCGGATCTCTACAAAGCCCAATTGAGCCGCGTGGACCAGGCGTTGCGTCATCAAAGCAATAACACGGCGACTACAAAATCCCTCCGCGATAACGCTCGACCCCACACCGCGAAGATCACTCAGCCGAAAATCGAGGAATTGGGCTGGGAAGTTCTGCCTCATCCGCCATATAGCCCGGACTTGGCCCCATACGACTACCACTTGTTTCGGTCGATGAAGCACTCTTTAGCAGAAAAAAATTCAAAAACCGCGAAGAAGTTGAAATCTGGGTGTCCAACTTCTTCGAGTCGCAGTTGCCCGAGTTCTTCGAAAAGGGCATCCATTTTCTGCGTGGAAGGTGGCAGAGAGTCATTGATAATGATGGCGAATATCTTTTGGATTGAGGTTCTGTATTAGGATTTTGTTTATGGTTCCAACGGAAGTTTCATCTGCACCAACCTAATAGTTTTGTACCCATTTTTTGGTTACTTTTTCATCTTCAAAGTGCTCTCCTACTAGGGCATTTTACATTGACCAAAATAAATGGGAATCTGATGGAATTAGATCTGGAGAATATGCTGGGTGGGGGAGAAGTTCGGAGTCTAGGTTCTTCGTTGTAGAGCGAGTCAGTTTAGCAGTTTGTCATGCTGCAATATGGCTTTCAGAAGTCAGGGTTCCAGATCAATATCTGACTTGACCTACATAAACAAAATAAGCTCATTTTGATCAGAACACAAAGAGTTTATAGAAATAGAGGTGAGGATGGGGCTGAACGGGCAGAAAATGGGTGGGGAATCAAATTTCGAGGACACCCTCACCCCCATCCCCACGCAATGCTTTAGAAAATGGGTACAAAAAAAGAAAAAGATAGGATTTTTGACGATAAGATAAAGCAAAATAGGGGCAAATGGGGAATGTGTGCAGATGGCCGAAAAATCGATGGCTCCTCCAACTGGGCTCTCCCGTTTTTCTCTGCCATCTATTGATTGAAAAAGCCAAGCGGTGAAGAAGACCACCCACGAAGAATTAGCCAGCCCGATAGAACAGGAATGGGGCTTTCCTTTTCTCAGTTTTCTCAAACAATGAGAAAACTGAGAAACGTCTAGTAGAGTTTATTTGGAGGATTTTGCTTGTTGTATCTAATAAGAGTGTTGGATTTCACAATAAAATATTTAACAATAAAATAGTGACAAGAATGGCTTATGAAACCTGACTTGATGAGACAGTAATAAAGAGTGTTAAGAGCTTAGGGCGAAATTCACGCGGAAACATCAAATAATTAACAAGGTCGGTTGTTATATGGAAGTGAACACAAAAGAAGGGATCGATGAAAAGAAAAGAAACGTGATGGGAAAAGAATGGAATGGAAAGAGGAGAGACTGTATGGGGAAAGGGAAGGAGGGAGAGGGAAGGAGGGGAAGGGAAGGAGGGGAAGAGAAGAAGGGGAAGAGAAGGAGGGAAAGGGGAGGAGGGGAAGAGAAGAAGGGAAAGGGAAGGAGGGAGAGGGAAGGAGGGAAGGAAGGAGGGGAAAGAAGAAGGGAGAAGAGAACTTATGGGAAGGGAAGGAGAGGGAGGGGGGAAGGGAGGGGGAGAGGAAGGGAGGAAGGGGGGAGGAGGGGGAGGGGGGGAAAGGGAAGGACGGAGAGGGAAGGGATTCTCTCTTCCGAGTATAAATAGAATAAACCTTAAGAGACAAAGGACGGTAAAAAAGACTTATAAAGAGTACACAGGATGAGGATTTCTTAAGTGAACATAAAACGCATTCAAAAATATTACGAAATGAATTAAACAAATTCAAGGCTTAAGATTTCTATATTGAATAAACTGAAGAAGAAGCAAACTGAAGAAGTAAACAGCAACAATAAAATCGATGAGTATGGAAAGAAAATGGAAAAATGAGAGAGGAATAAGAAAAGGGGAAACAATGGGGAAGGGGAAGGGGAAGGACATTCATGGATATCTTTCAACAAATCAAATCACACTATCACATAAGCTTCTTCCACCACTAGACAATAACACACTAATGTTGCAGTTCGTACATAATTTTCTTAAACGACAATAGTATAAAGGAAGAAAATTGAATATTTCCCACAGAGATGTGCAACTTAATCGATTTCGATCATCGATCACATCTCAATCGAGTAAAATATTTAAATACCGTAAATCTGTAATTGAACCCCCATCTAATAGAAGCACTTCTTGCTTATTTCCTTTTCAGATTTTCTTTTGTTTCTTTTTTATTTTTTTACACTTTTTTGTTGAGAAATTATAAAACATTGAAATTTTCAATACTTTACAGTTCCTCAATACATTTCTAACTGTTTTTTAGGTAGAAGGGGCAATTTTGGCGACGGATTGGAGGAGTTCCGCGACCGCCGGGAGCTTTAGTGAGATCTCTCTCAAGAAGACGATTTGAATGGAAAGCCGTGTGGATGAAAATACGACTGCAAGCACGGAGTTGGAGAAGAAAACGAAGCGGAAAACGATCGACATTAAGACGAAACTCGATGTTGTAAAAATGGCTCGATCGACTTCTATTCACTCGGCTGCAAAGATCTTCAAAATTGAGCATTAAGCGGTCTTGTGTGCGGGTGGTGGCAATGTAAAGCCTCCTTCAATGCACATCTACTTGAGCTGGATTGTGAATGCTTGGAACACACTCAGCGAGCAAACCATCCTAAAATCTTTCAAAACACGTGGAACCGGAATCGCTTCAAATGGAGATGAAGATCACTTCATTGTTGCACTGTTTTTACCCCGGATGGTTCGATCTCTACAGGAATGCACATGCTGAAGGATGCTTGCATGGAAAAAGAAATCGACGATCTTCTAGAAACCTTCGAATCGACAGGATTTCAGGATTTTTGCGAAGAAAATGATTCAAAAGAAAAAGCCGACAATTTTGTTGACTCCGATGCTTCGATTGGCTTTGATCTCTATTTTGTCTGTCGCTTTCTTATTTTCGCTTTATTATTATTATTTTTGTTTTGGCTAAATGTTGTTGGTTATTAGCACTTGTCTTGAATGTTTATACTGTTTTTTTTAATAAAATTGGAAGAAAATTAGGTTATCGAACGAATCTACCTGTCAGTCTATCCAATTTTGTTAACTTGAAATTTCTCAAAGACCAGGTGAAAGTTAGAAGTCCCCTCTGGAGGGGAAAGGAAAAAATAGAAGCCCCAGGGCTTTAACTACAGTATTTACGGTATCGATCTTTACAAACATAGAATTTGAAGCATTTTTTAATGCTTTCAACATATTCAGCTCACGAGAACTCGAATGAGAACTCGCAATCAGAAGACAATGCATTTCCCCGATATGTTCGATAAGAGACTTCAAGAAGAATTTCGGAAACTGTGTTCTGATGTTTCTTTTGCGCTTCCATCTCATTGAACTCTTTGCTTTTACATTTTTATTCAAAGAAACACTAAAAAATACTTTACAAAAGCGAAAATCTTTACATTCTGGAATTTCTATACAGAAATGAACAAAAAAGGGATTGATTGAGATGAAAATTTCAGTCATTTCGAGAATCACAAAATAGGAAAATACCGGAAAATTGAGTGTTTTAGGAGTCCCGTTTGAAGAAAAAATGAAGCGAGTCTGTGTAGGCAAAATGAAAAAAAAAGGAAAAATTCACACAAAAAACCCCACTAAGAAAAAAAAACTAGAAACACAAAAAATAAATATAGACAAGAAAAATGAAATGGCTAGAAGTATTTGCAAAAAGAGAAAAGTGAAAAATGTCAAGAAAATGACTCGAATTTCAAAGATTTTCAGAAAAGAAAACCCATTGAACTGTGATTTTCTGAAAGGTTAAAAGGTTTTCTAAAGTTTACTATTAGGCAAAGCTATCCACACACGCAAAAATTTGAGCTAACTTTTAGAAAACTTAAACTCGAAAAGAACACAGTTTATGTGAGACTAGCACTGAATATTTTGGGCAGAGAAGTCGTTTCAAACAACGAAAATGAAAGCTATCTTTTTGGATTTCAACCGTTTTTTTTCTGAGACAATAAACGAAGCTAAAAATCGCAATTTCTAGAGTAATCTTTTTCACAAGAAACCAGCACTTCAACTTCAACTTCAACCACTTTTCTTCATCATCTTGAATGGGAAAACGGGTTGACGACATCCACGGCAAGTCATGGGCTGGAAATTCGATAGATATTTAAAGTTATTGAGTATTTTCTATAACTTGTTACTTTTTCTATACTCACCGTATTCTTTTGTGCATCAGCTTTCCATTGTCTCGTGCAACCACAACGAAAGAATCCAACTGACGGACGATCACCTTGATAGGGAGTACGCTCATTCATTGGGTTCTTCTGAAAAGAATTCATAAATAAAAAGCCAATCAAAGATTGATAATAGCGATAATAGTGATAATCAAAGATTTTAATAGCGAATTGAACTTACAGTAGGACAGAATTTAATCCAATGTCCCTTTTGATTGCATCGATGACAGACATAGTCATCGGGAACAGTTGAACGAAGAGCTTGGAGTTCACGGAGAACCTGAAACTCAAAGTTTAGATAAGATCCAAAGCACTGTCATTCTATTCAAAATCTAGATTCTATTCAAGATCTATTCAGGATCTATTCAAGATCTATTCAAGATCCAAGACCGTACCTCAGCTTCAATATCCTCATCAGTTTGTTGAACAGGCTGTTGTTGAATGATTTGATGCGGTTGGCGGAAAACTTGATGGAAAGATTGAGAATATGGAGGGGTTCCGAATGGGGTTTGAATTGGAGAAGTGAAAGCCGAATTTGGAGAATACATTCGGAAGCCGGCAGCACTGAATGGAGTATTGTTGGAAGAAGAGTGGAATGGAGAATAGGACTGCGGAGAGGAGGACATCATCTGAAAGTTAAGTTCTTTTTAAATGCTATATTTTTATTGTATATGCTTAAAGTAATTCTCCTGTTTTTCTTTTGTCTTTAGCTAACTTCTCACAAATTTCCACATTTCCCTAACCCAATTCCATTGACTTCATTCACTAAACTCCCCATGATTTTCGCCATAAATCACCCGATCTCTCCATTCTTACAATATTGATTACCTATTTTATTCGATGACAAATGATTTCATTTACCCACCTATTAATCTTTTACTGATTTTATTGCATTGATTACCTGTGAGTTTCCCAAAAAGAAAACATTTGGTGGTGATGGAGGAGGAGTTGGGAGAAGAGATGATGAACGACCACTCGAAATACCGGTCGATGTTGATGAAGTCCTGAAAATCGAGGAATAAGATTGGGGAAAGGAAAAGAGAAAGCTTACGGTAAGAAAAGGGGACTGGATTACGGTATGTTGTGCATTCAGAGATACGAAAATCATTTCGAAACTCGACGAAAACGCGAAAAGACTTATGAAAGATTATTTTGAAGAGAAATTCTGAGATTGAGAAAGATAGGAGTACTATAATTGATTCATAATATATAAAAGGTACCTGAAAGACGTGTTTCGAAGGCAATCCGATTGGGAAGCATTTGAAGTGACACGAGGACGGCCAATTGGACCATACTGCAAATCGAGTAGTAATTAAGAGGCTTTAGTTATTTGAGTCTATTTTTATAGCTTTTTCATTTTTATATCTCTTTTATAGTTTATTTATATATGTTTTTCTTTGATAGACTCACCGGATTGCAAGAAGTGCTCGGTTCATCACTCACAGCCAATTTCGAAAGCATCAAAGCGATTGGATTCTCGGCGCCCATTGTGAAAGGAATTTCTGTAAAAGTAAAGATTTTCTGGCTTGCAATTTTTAAGCTACAAAGCATAAAAATCAAAAAAGATAGAAAATTCAGAGATAGAAAAATGAGTGACGCAATTTTCTGAAAGAAGTCGAAAGAACACTCGGAAAAGGAAAGCGGTGATGAAACGGGCGAAAAATGTCGAAAATTGGGCAATTTTTAGAAAAATCAAAGAAATTTTAATATGAATTGATCGAAATAATGCCTGAAGCTTGTCCAGATGTTTGAAAATAAAAGTTTTTGATGTAAACATTGTCTATAATACACAAGTGAATCAGCTTTGAGTGTTTGAGAAGGCTTCTTTGTAAAAGTTCATGAAAATTTCTTGGTCAAAAGACTTTCGAAAACAAAATCTAATAGGCAAAACATTTTCCAAAGAAACGATTAAATATTTGTCTGAATGAGGCTCCGCCCATCTTCCCCTTCCTATTTCTTGTACAAGAATTGACAGGATACGATTTGATGCGGATTGGGCAAGGAAATTTGGAGATCAAAATTGGAAAAAAGGGAAAAGTTTCACAAATGATGAGATATGGAATAAACAAAAGAAAAACAGGAAAAGACCAGTGAGGAATTGAATGGAAAGGGGAGGGGAAAGAGAGAAGGGGAAGAGGAAGGGGAAAGGGAAAGGAACAGATGAGTCACTCGACAAGAATTTACATGGGAAACAGACTGAAACTAGAAATAAATCACCATATTCAACAAAATATTTAAAGAATCTACAGGTAAACTATCCTTTTAGATGTGCAATGATTCAAGGACTCGATTACTTAGTTTTCTTTCAGATATCTTGTAGTTTTTAGAAGACAAGTAAAAGCATTTAGTTCTGTTCTTCTCATTTATCCATTTTCGGATTTGTCTTGAGTCATCAAAAAGCCGCATTAGTGATTTGTGGTTAGTAATCCCAACAAAGCTGGTCTTGTTTTAACAAAAATAATAAGCTCAACTAGACAAATCTAGATGTGATGGAATCTAGAGGAATCAGAAAAACAAACCAAAACTATTTCAAAGTTGGTAGCAAGATCTAAAATAGATAACCCATTTTAGAAAGATTACTTTTGAAATTTGATGATTGGATGACTGGAAGAAAGGAGTGGGAGTCGAGGAAAGAAAGAGATCAGGACAACGATGACGCAATGGAAAAAAGAGGGGGTTTTGAGATGGATTTCGATGGAGAAAAGGTGGTACGAGTGGACTGATTCCGAAGAAATGAAGAACACAACGAACAGACAGTTGTATTTGTTGGAAAGAATGAGCTGGAGAATTTGGTTGTTACTAAGAATGAATCAAAGTTGGAGAGAGAGTCACCCATCCTTAGCAAGAATCGAGAAACGCCAACACACCGTTTCCAACCAAAAGCTATCATTGTGGAGTCTATTGTTGAAAACAATTTCCCGAAGAGTCTACTAGATAGATTCATTTTAAAATTCGAAAGTAAGTGCTTGCACAATCTAGGATTCAGATTGAAAATTCCATATTTTTGAAATGTAATTGAAAATCTTCCCCTTTCCCCTCAAAAAGCACTCCGATGAATCCCTTTCATCCTAAAATTGCCATTCAGAATTGAAATCGGAATCAAAATCAGAAATTCATTTAATTTTTCTGATTTGTGATCATTTTACATTGACCTGAGATAAGTCCCGAATCTTCTAGATAATTGTTTTCATTTGAAAGCAAGAGATGGATTAGCCTAGTCCATGACCGGAGATTTGATCGAGTGAAATTTGTAAAAGAATAAATGATTGAATGATCAAATGAATGATATTGCAGAACATGAATCAAACAAAGAAAATAGAGAGTGAGTGAGAGAGAATGAGAGGAGGAATGGGGGAAAACTTTCTGCTAGTTGTGCAATTGAACGGAGAATACGAAAGGTGACGAAATATCTCGTGGAAAAGAAAGAAATATTGGGGAAATTGAAGAAAAATAGAGAAATGATGGAGAGGAAGGGAAAAGAGATTTCGAATTCCGCGAACATATTCGAAAATGAATCCGGTGATGATGAAAGAAGAGCAATGACGGTAACGTTTGAAAGAGGAAGGGCTACTGTACTCCGGTATAATGTAGCTGTGTCAGCAGAGTCAAAAATTGCATCAGAAAATGCAGAGATTGTGGTTCTGAATGGGTATTTCTGTTCTGAATTTTCTGAATTTGCAGAAGCTTCTACAAATTCCTAAAAAGAACAGATTTTTCTCATAGAAAGCTTCAGTAAGATTGGAATAAGAAAAAACCTTGAAAAACTCTCTCTTGGTTAGACATTCCAGAAATTGTTGATTGTTTTCTTGCAACGATGAAAATAGAAAATCTCAAATCGGAGAAAAAACAAAATGAAATGAATGGCTTCTTTTTATAAACACAAAAATACCCCCAAATTGATTACAATGATCAAAAGAATAAGAGAAAGAATTTGAGTTTGAGGCATGAAGGACTTGAACCTCAGTTCTGAATCTAGAGTCTAGCAAATTAGCATTATATCAGAGTCAAAAAGTGAAAAAGCGGTACAACATGGTTCAAAATTAAGCACAAAACCCAGTTTAAGCGAATGATTTCGAAAATGGACCAATTTCGCAATTCCTTGCAAAATGAAAGACTGAGAACTGGCTATTCAAAAATTGTTTGACTATGTGACGTATAGGGTAGCCAATCTGAAAACAATTCCGAAAAATTTGAATGGAAAATAAAGAAAAGTTCGAAAAAATGATTCGGACCCTTGGATCACTTGGATGACAAATCAAAAAAGAAAAGAGAAAAGGGGAGTTGGGGTGAGTGTGCGAGTTGTGCTCAAGGAGAGAAAGGGATTCGTCTCTCTCGTTATCCCAAATGTCTGCACTCTCGACTCATTCACCCAAAATCTCCCCCGTTCATGTATTTTCCATATTTCTTTTCCATTCTATTCCTTAATCTTTCATTTCTTTTCCATTTTCTCCTCTATGTCTAGCCTTGTCTCTCGAAAGTGTTCCTTCCCTCTCTACCCATGCGAATTCTCTATCTCTCCCCCTTCCCCCCATCAAAATCTCTCAAAAATCCTCTCTTTCTCTTCAAACCTTCCAGAAACAGCTGATTTTCGAAAAGAAACGAAAATTCTTTCGGCTGAATTTGTGTGATTTGTGTCTTCAGCTTTTCCCTTTTTTTTATCGGTTTCTAGTGCAACCACAAGTAAACACACGACAACAAAACAATTTTTGCACTTTTTGCGAATTGAGAACGCCCCAAAAATGAACTCCCATTCAGGGGAAATATTTTGGATTTCGAGAAAGCTGGGTAAATCTTTTTTTTGGAAAAAAAACCGTGACAAAAAGTGATCTGTAGTTGAAAAAAGAGCATCTATGAGAAAAATTTGCCCTTTCAAGCTTTGAAAATGAAAGTTTAATGACGCAATTTTAGCAATTCACTAGAAAGATCAAACATTTCGATCTTTTCAATATTTCTTTTCAAAAAGATTAAGCAATAAATCTAGCAAATAAACAGGCTAAATGTTATACAAAATGTTTCTCTTTTTTGTCTACAAACGATCTGCTGAAAAGATTGATCTCTCATTCAGAAATTGGGAAGCAAAGGATTCAATCCTAACAAAAGGAAAAAGAAGTTGCAATGAAATCATTGAATGAGATAAAACAAAGCACTGAGCGAGCGGAGAACACGAATAAACGAGGGTTCGAAAGAGTTTTAAAGCTTTAAAAAGAATAAGCTAGTAAGAGCGGTGCTTAGCTAACAAAAAGTGATTGACATGAGTTAAAGCTGATTACAAAGCCTGAGCCTGTGTACGTACAACTGAATAAACCTAAAAACGCTTTAGATTATCATAATTTCTACTCATTTAAGAGTCCGTCTATTCACATTCAAAGCCATGAATGTGAACCGAAAATAAAATGAGAAAATGATCTAGAAATCGAGTTGACAATCCAGTTTCTGTCATCAAAAATGACTTTCGAATGGGGAGGGGATCTCCTTTCTTCGGTGCTTGTTTTTGTTTTCACAGACACAGACAGCCAGCGGTTGCTGAACTCTTTTTGTGGCACTGGCCCCACCCCTCCATTCACGCCATCTCACCCCATCTCACTCTCCTCTACTTTCCCTCAATAAGTGCACATGTAGGACATAAATCGCCCTTTTAGTGAACAAACCATAAACAACTTTGCACTCTTTTTCTTCAATAAACTCCGAGAATTTTTTCGGAGATTTTTGGCCTTTTCGTTGCCCTTTTCATCAACGATAGACACAAATACCCAACGGAGAAAAGGACAACATAAACAAAATCGGCAAATAGACAACAACATATGAAGAATTTCATGGGAAAATTAGTAAAGTTTGAAAGTTTAGACGGAAAACTCAAAGTATCAAAGGTATTTCCGGTTTTATAGTTTTAATTGGTAACTCTTACAAAAGATAATGAAATGATTGAGCACGAGACTGAAATAAGAATATTTCGGTTGTTTCAATTCGAAAATTTTTGCAAATTTTTGCGGGAAATTGTGTAAGTAGGGAAAAGAAAAAAGGTAAAAGAATGTATGAGTCAAAAAGGGAATCGGGGGAGAAGGGGAAGAGGCTATTCCCCTTCCCCTTCCCCTTCTCCTTCCCCTTCCCCTTCCCCTTCGCTATTCTGTCGGATACGAACTTTCCCCTTTTTCCCGTCAATTCTTCATTCTTCAATTGGCGCCAAAAGGCGCCCTGATCACTCGATTGGTGAAGAAATGCGCTTTTGATCAGAGCCGTGTGAAGTAAGTCAAAATCAATGGCTCCTCTCTCTTTCGAATCGAATCTCTTTCCTAAAACGTGTTCGAAAATAGCATCAAAGTTATATCTTTTGTACCGTAGTCGTATCTTCGGCCTTTGCGGCGACAAGTCACCGAAAAGCTGCCGCAGTCTAAGACATCAGAAATACTGTACCCTAAACAATGTCGCGCTCACACGGGACACTTCCCCATTTGGTCAGAATTTTCTCTCATTTTTTCTTGTGAAGGTTG